ACTAGAACCCAGGTTCCCTGACTCCCGGTGTCCTTGAAACTAGACCACACTGCTTCCAAAGAGGCAACCCCAGACTGGCTCTGAGCACGAATTAAAGACGAACAATGTTAGATGAGGTTTGGGTGTGGTGGTGTTTCCTGTGGACACGTTAAGATGGAACCTGAGGTGTTGTCTGGATTGGTTTTGGCATGCGGGTGTATGTGTTAGTTTCAATGGGTGTATCTGAGCTTCCCGGCCTGTCCACGTCTCACTGCATTCTGGACTGGGTCACTGCAGAGAGCAGGGCAGAATGCTCAGGAGGTCATGGCGGACTGGCATACAAAAGGAACTCTGTCAGCTCAGTGCCGAGGGGCCTGCCAGTCTTTGGGAGTTCGGGCAAACTAGGGATGCAGGACTTTGGAACGGAGTCAGATGCCCACCTTAGGTAGGTCTGCTTAATCTTTTTATTTTTTTTAATCTTTTGTTTTACTGGCCAGCATCAGGAAGTTGTGTTCATTTCATTTCTCTGTGGGGCAGCTGTCCCCCTCCTTTGCTCTCTCTCACTCTTTCCCTTTCTCTGAGTCTCTGCTTGGAAGGGAAAACTGTTAAGCCTTGTACGTTCCCTTTCATGAAAAAGAACCACCGTGAGCAACGTCCGCGACAGGCAGCCCTGGCTCCGCAGATGAGCCACGGCCCCGCTTCCACCTTCCGGAGGAGTGCTTTGCTTGGAAGGGGTCTCCCTGGGGCCTTGGGTCTGCGTTTTCCTGCATTTCTTCCGAAATGCTGTTTCAGTAGAAATAAGCCCACTTGAGACTTTTCCCTTTCAAGGCCTTAGCCACAAACGCCTTCCGACTAACCAGCTTGGTGCCGTAGCTCAGGCAGAAAATTTTAAAGCATCCGTTCAAGCATCTGAAACAAACGAATCAGCCAGTGAAATCTCATCTGTTAGCATCTGTTCTCCTCTTAGATTAAAAAAAGAAAAAAATTTAAAAAGAGCCTTTTGATGGCTTCAGGAAGAATCATGCTTTTTAAAAAAATAAAAATAAAACAAAACTCCACTACTTTTTAGACTAAGATGACCAGGTAACAGGTGTTTGACCTTCTACAGGTTAAATCTCTGTGAAGGATCCCATTTTCTTCAGTCTTTAAGCACCGAGCCTCCCTAAGAAGGCCACATGGGGCACTTCGGGGGCTGAGAGTCCTTTGCTTCTTACATACCACCCACATCTCCCCTCAACCAGCTGCATCACCATCTGGCAGCTTGGGCATATCTGTACAATTATTCAACCTAACAACCTAATTCTTTATAGTGAGGAATAATGGTCTCCTCCTTAAACCAAACTTCCAAGCAGGCAAAAGGACTATCCCTCCAAAGCTTTCCTACAATGGAGATGGGAAGGATCCCATCTGGGATGAGTGGGGAACACAGTGTCCTCGGCTTCCACCGGAGTGCGTGTCTTTTGCAGAAAGGAAATTCTTGAATGTTGAAAGAAAAAGAAATGAACAAAACTTATCCCACTTTGGGGTCTTTCTCTCATCCACAAGACACTGGACAAATTAGTGTCTGTAACTTGCACAGATGTCCTCATCTAGAAGGTCTGATGGGACATTTGGCATGCACTGCTGTCTGCTGGGAAGGGGACTGAGAGTTTTCGTGGCTGCATGGCTGTGTTCCTTTATTTATTTGCCCCTCGTGGAAACTTGCAGGTCACTCGGATGTAGCAACAATGGATGATGAGCGAATGCTGAGTCAACCTAAAGTGAACATGGTATGTAGGAGATGCACAAGAGGAAAGTAAAAAAGGCTGGATGTAGCTTCTCTCTGGTTCCCTCTGTAGAGGGGCTGGAGAGAAGGTTGGTTTTAATGATGAACATGGATGGAAGGATGGAAACTGCACACTCATTCAGACCACAGAGGCCAGAAGACACCGGATGCCGAGCTCCTCCCCACACACGGATCCAGGAGCTCAAGCCATTCCCCTTCACCAGGGAGGCAGCATTGCAGTTGGTCTGAACACAGGGAGATCAGATGGAGCCCACAGGGTACAAAACCACAGTGTTTCTGTGTGTCCTTGAAAAACCATTCTCTGGGGTGGGGGCACAGAGGTCTTGGGCCCGTTCTGAAAGCTGTTCAGACAGACTGCACCCTACGCAGCACAAGCACGCACATGCCTAGGTCCAAACTTCTGCTCACACTGCGACGGCCACGCTCCACTTTCCATTAGCAATCAGTCTGCCAGACATGGGGCACCCTGTCATGGGAGGAGGCAAGTCATCCCCGATCTCAACAGGCCACGCCCACTCTCAAGGGCTTCCCAAGACTGTGTCCTTGTCCTAGTTACACTGGTGGAACTGCCATCCCACCATATTTTCCTAACTGCTACATTGCCACCCAGTATTTCATCACGCAGAAAGGAATGCCTCCTCATGCTAATTAAACATGGAGTAACAAATCACACTCACAGCCATTTCTACAGCACAGGAAGCCAAAATGCAATTTGAATTATCCTTCAAGGAGACAAAAAAAAATTCTGTTTAATGTTTTAGAATCAAGTACATTTTCAGTTTATCTGTTAAGATTATGAACACAACTTAATTTTCTAGGCTGCATTCTCAACATAAATTACAGACGATGCTTCAGATCCCAATGGAGCCATGTGAAAATATGTTGGTATCGTCTAACTGGAAATGTTTGCATTTCACCAGTAAAATGAAACTCTATAAACAATAAAATAAAAACATTTAGGAGAAACCCTCAACATTATTGCAATGCAATGTAAGAGAGTCTTTTAACCCATGACCTGCCACTATATTATTCATGCCATTCAACCCTTCGACGTAAGACTCAGTAAATCCAATATGTGAAATCTGATAAATACTTAGCCTTGTGTTGTTTCTGCATGTATTAAAACATCAGAACACCATTTCCAGCCACTAGAGAAAGTGCTGAAGCTATCTAATTGGGAAGTCTTGGGGTTCAGAAAAAGTATAAATAACCCTGCATCCAAGTGGCCTCCATGCCTTCCACAAAAAATGCAAGATTCTTATGGTACCTAGCTAACTTGATGGCTATAAATTAGGACATTGACCATTGATGACAGACTCTGTTCCCCCCCTCCAGGAAAGTCATCAAGTTCTGGTTCCAATTAGGCCCGCAGAACAATAAGCAGTTCCCACAAGCCAAGAACACTGGGAAATGGAACTAAACAATCTAACCAGCCTCGTCTTCTGGGCAGGGGTTATTTTAAGGGCAAGCCTGCAGAAGCATGTTCATTACACCCTCTCCTCGCACCCAACCTGGCCACACTGTCCTCAAGGACAGATGGGCCAGAGACTTCTTACAATCTGCAAACATATCTCTGCAGTTTGCTTTGTCTCTCTGAGGCTAGCTGTGAACTGCAATCCAGAAGGAGAGCTGTTACTTTTACAAACTGGATTGGTTGGAAGTGAGAAAGCTTCATTTGTAAATCCTACCGCCTGAGATGGCAATGGGCTGTTTGACTGAGCCTAGGATTCCCTCAGCTACCTTTAGGATACATGATCTAAGGAAGGAAGATCAACGTCTTCAGTCGGATTCATGGTCCACCTGCCAACCCACATATGCCTCTTTCCCCCATCCCTGCAGCTATTTGGGTAGAGCAGAGGTTTCACCACAAATCAGCACGTCACTGTCACACAAGGCCATCTACCAACCCACCAGATACAAACACAGCCCATGTTTGTCATTCATTCATTGGCTGCCATTCATATTCATATTCATATTCTCTCTCTCAGCAAAATCAAAGATAAGCCTTCATTTTGGTTGTTACCATCACTTTGAACACACAACAACACTGGGCATTTTATCCTGGAGAAGAGTGAAGGACTCTTCCATGTTGAACCTTATCAATATCTACAAGGCCAAATTTAACATGTGCTGAGAACAGGGGCATAAAATTTTAGCGTAGATTTTTAAAAATTCTTTATCGTATCCATGATAGACTCAGAGCACTCTGGGCAGCAGAGGTGACTGGGCTTCTGACTCATTTGGACAGTTGTTTCAGATGGTTTGCCAGCCTCTGTGATTCCTTCTTCCCTGTCCTTAGCATCTTCTCCCTCTTTGCCCTGTCTCCTTCATTCACAGCACGCACAGACCACCTTCCTAGCCCCTCTTCCTCCTGGTCCCCATCGTGCCTTCTTGTCCCCACCACATACCTGCTTCCCATTCCAGAGCTTTGGGGTTTCCTAGGATTCTACATTTCTCACAGGCATGGACCCTGGCTGGGGCCAGAGGTTCCTGAAAGCCACATCCACACTCTAGGAGCCTGGAGTGGGACTCAGGTGGAGGAGGGAGAGGGCCCAGAGGCTGGCTGGGGTGTGAGAGCATAGCAGGTGCACAGCTGGCCTCCCAGCCATCAGGAGACAACACAGAGAGACAGACAGACACACACACCACACACACACACAGAGTACATACTAGAGACACACACACACACGTAGTACATACTACACACACACACACACACACACGCACACACGTAGTACATACTAGGAGGTGATGAATGTTACTGAAATGGACCAAAAACCAACAAGCAGTGGGGTAAGAAACAAACAGAAACAAAACAAAGCACTTGCGTTCAGATGGAAAGCTGTTCATTCACTAGGCAGCCAGAACCCTGGAGCCCAGGGCTGTGGGGAAGGTGGGTGCCTGCTTGGAGGACACTGCCTGGCGGGGCTAGGGTGCAAGGGCAGCGCTCGCTCCTTTCTGTCCCGGCAGCCCTGCCACGTGGGTGGTGGCAGGTGTGGGGCTCTATGGGGGAGGCAGCAGGGAGGGAAGCACTTACCTCGTGGCCCAGGAATGGCTAGTCCACATTTGGGGAGTGTGTAGTATCTCTAGTCCACATTTGGGGAGTGTGTAGTATCTCACTTTAAACAAAATCCTGGTGGTACTGCTCAACCATGAATAGGCAGCTCTCTAGTATTTCAAATAAGCTTGTAAAATCGTTAGTGAAAAGAGAAAACAGAAGGAGACAACAATTCACCTGTAGGGCAATTGTGGTGTTCTTCGCAGGGTACTTTCCCACCAGTCCTTGTTCTTTCCGTTTCTTGAATTTCCTAAAGTAGTCCTGTATCAGGAAAGTGGCATAGAACTTCCCCACGGTTACCTCATCATCTAAACGGAGAGACCAGACAGAGCTCTCCCGAATCAGCACATTAGACCAAGAGCCTAAACACTTGCTTCTGGCTGGGGCAGGGGCAGGGGCAGGGTGGGGCAGGGGGGTGGGTGGTGCGGCACAGAAGGCACCGAGCCCTCAGCATATAACATGGGAGTCTCAAACCAGCAAAAAGCAAGGTTTTGCAAATAAATTAAGGCTCAAAATTAGTGTCAGTTAAATGAACTGATATTCTAGGTTGCAGAAAATAATATATTTGTTATGAGTTTAATAGAGCAGCATATTAGTAACACTATGAAATGCTGTCTTATTTACTTAAAATGAAAATTACAAAGCAAAAAGAGGCTTCACGGGCCACATTACACCCCTGTGCATAGGGATTTGCATGTATAACTACCATAAACTTATCAAGGGCAATTAACCATCCAAATCCCGACATCTCAAGATAGAGACCTAGAAAGGTGACATACACGCTCATAAGGAGAGGAAGGTTCAGAAAAGTGACTGCAAAATCAGATTTTCACGAGCTCCTCGCTCCTGCATTCTCTGCCAATAAGCTCCATATACCATTTCTTGGTACGTAATTCTGAACAGCTCATTTTCTGCACTGTAGTGACAGGTCCAACCAACCTCAAAGTTGAGCTGGGCTTATTTTTGCTTTGTTCAGAAACAACCTCCAACGTGTATGGTTGGGGAATCAGAACTCTGCTGATGACTTTAAAGGTGATGCATGAGGCAGAATAGAGGCTCTGGCTATCTCATGGTAAACCACTTTGGACATGTAAATGTGCCCATGGGTCTCCCATGGCTGCTCCCCACAGGATCTTCAGTGTGCTGTGTCTCTTGAGGGTAAAGCTTACCATCACTTTAGTAGCCCATCCCATGTGTGTGGAGCCATGTGGGGCCCTGGGGGCCACAGACCATGACTTGCAGAGGCTGGGAGAAGGAATGGCTGCTGGTCCACAGGCTGCAAAGCAGGTGGCTTTTAGGCCAGGCTGCCCTTGCAAGAGTTACATGCTGATCAGGAGGCAAGGGGTTCAACCACTCTGAGCTTGTGTTCTCATCTCTAAAATGGAGATAAGCCTCTCAGAAGAGACATGAGGACTCTATGGGAGGAGGCAGGTAAAGAATGACATGGATCCTGAGCTTGATGGGGGCGGGGACATGGAAAACCATCATCCTTCACTAATGCACCCTGGGTGGGCTTCCCTTAGTGCCCATGCAGGAGATGCTGCCAACATCTTGTGGCTCTCACTGGAGATGCCACTTTGGGCTGCTTCTCCAGCTCTCCCTGTCAGAAGTTGCTTGGTGTTACTGTGTGAGAAGGCTGTCTCAGTTGTCTGGCCTGGAGTGGTGTAGGGGGCCACCCAGGGAAGCAATAGGCTCTGAGTAGCTTGTAAAACACGGTCCTTAAGTGGTCTCAGGCTTGTCTAATGATGGAAGGTCCATAGGCAAGAAGGCAGGAGGTAAGCACAGACCTCAGGTCCTGATACTTCACCCCCCGCTGTGCTCTCCAGCCTCCCCATTTGCTCTAGATGTGTTTGGAATATCAGCTCTAGCTCTTGCCAGCCCCTACTGTTGGACATCTATAAGTGCCAAGCCCCATGTCAGAAGAATTCCATATGGGTCTCATGGCCTCTTCCCAACTCTGACATGGTGGATCTGCTCACCATGCCCCCAACAGATGGAGAGAGGCTAAATGACTTGCCCAGGTCGGTCTAGCCAGCACCTGAACACAGGGCAGTGTGCTCCCAAGTCTGGGGTCCTATCCTCCACACCACCTCTCTGGAGATGGCTGTCTCCAGCCACACTGGCTGCCAGCTTCTTTGGAGCTGCCTCTCCCACCATGCAAGCATATCCCTTAACCAGGCTGCACATGGGAAGTGGACGCACTATTGTCTGCCTAGTACCTCCAGGGGCCCCAGGGAGCTTCTCTAGTGACCTGCCATGCCACAGCCTTCCTCTGTAGTCCAGGGCTCTGAGGGTTCTCTGTGGGGCCCAGAAAAAGCCCTGGTTCTACCTGCAGAAGATCCACACCTCATTCCACACTGGGATGTTTCCGGCAAATGCAGGCCTAGCCCTGATCTCCCTTCAGCTTCCAGAGCAGAGGTGGACCCACCCAGGGCCCTGCAGGAGAGGACTCAAGGGTCACTTCGTCTTCTCCATTGAGACAATGAGCTAATTAAGAGACTCGGCCCAAGGGAGAGTTCCTAAGAACAAGAAAAGTCAAAGCTATAGCAGGACAGAACAAGAAGGAAGAGAAGGAATGAATGCAAGGAGGCTGTCTGGGTTCAGAACTGAAAAGGAGATGGAGGCAGCTCAGTGTGCGCTTCAAGGCAAAGATGCAAAGGATCCAGGTCAAGTATGGAGGAGAGTCCTAGGGAGGAGAGAGAGCTTCTGAAATGAAGGGGAAGGACCCATGAGACGGCAGGGGAAGGCTGAAGAGCAGAGGTGATCAACTGAGCTGAGAGGCAGAAATAAGGCAAGTCAGGCAGCTCAGCACTGATGGTAAGGGGGCAGCCAAGGCCCCCGGGCCACTGGGAGTGAAGCAAGCCTGATGTGTATCCACAGATCCACAGTTCACTCCTGACCTCATTATCAAGCTCACACAGAGCCAGGCTGGCACTCCAGCAAAGCCACCTACAACACGCATCCTACTCAGCTCCATCATCAGGGCTAAGAGGCACTTCCTGAGTACCCCACACCTGCCAGTCCCAGCCACCTGGAGTGGAGGCTGGCCTCACCCAGTCTCCTGCTCTTTGACCAGGTGATGATGTAGGGGACATCGAGGCCCTCAGCCTCAAGAACTCCACATCTGCTGCCCAGAAGGGTATACAAATATTATCCTTTCTAAGTGTGCTGTGATGCAGGAAAGGTTGGGGACATGGGTCTACTGGAAGATAAAAGAGGAGAGACAGGCAAATGATGAAAGGGGACAGCAAAGCCCTGCCCGGCAACTGTTGCAGAGTCTGTGCACCAAAGCCTGATAGCCACTGCCTTCTGACCTTCCTTGATGGCCACAGTGCTCATATGAGATTCAGCCACATAAGCCCTGTGCTGAGGACATCAGTCAACAATGGCAGGTAGCTTGCAGAGCTCCTAAGTCTCCTCCTAAGGCCCCATTTCTCTCTTCTTGGGCTTCACACTGCCTTTTGCTGCCGCTGTGGAATGCATTAAAACTTGTCATCTTAAACTCTAACCCATGTTAAGAAACAGAGAGAAAAGGCTAGGTCCAGTTACTGGACCAAGAAAGAAGACTTCCACTCTATTAGAAGTCTGGTAAAGCTATAAGTTGATCAGCTTTTCAAAGGACAAGAGCTTAGATGGTGAGCTAAATTCTGGACTTTTCTTTTGGTAAAATGAAATTTCAGGGCAATGCAAATGACACCCTCCAAGGGCATCTCATGTGGATGGGTATTAATGTGGGAGTTTGGCTGGTCGTGATGAAGGTGGCGTTCCAAGAGAGATGTCAGGTGGAGCTAGGGAGGAGGAGGTCCTCGGCTTGCGGGAGGAAGGTTTACATAGACAGGCATAGCCCACTATTCTGAAGCATGCATCTGTGTTTCAAGAAACAATGTAGGGGAATACAGTTGGCAAGAGATAACTCTGATTCCATGCCACCACCCTAAAACAGAATTGCTTCAGAATATTCTGAAAGACTGAGAGGTGAAAGGAATGCAGGCTGCAGAAAAAGCTCAAGCACATTGTTACAATTTTTCAAAAGCAATTCATCTAAGCCATGCAAGCTCTTGGATGCGCAGTTAAAAGGAAAATAATGAAAACCAAAGAGTTGTTTTAAACGTGCAGTATCAGTTCTCCTGTGGGAAGCCAAGGTTCTGTAGGTGGGAGTTTTGTGTGTGTGGGTTTTTTGGTGGTTGTTATTTCTTTGTTTTTTCCTTTTATCATTTCTTACTGGGCCATCTTCCCCAGCTTTGAGCTGGTGGCCGCACCAGCTACTGGTAATCCCTTCAGCAACAAAAGCTCACGCTGCTTCTTGCTTCATGCCAAGGAGCAGAGCTGGCTGGCATGCTGCTCTCTCTGCACCCCAAGAGCCAGAGCTCATGACCTTCTCAGAGGGAGAGGCCTTGGTCGCTGTCCTGGCCCCGGTCCTGAAGTCAGCTCCCTGACCTGAGCCAGACCAGTGTCAAAAGCTGTGAGGGCAGCAACGCTATAAAAATTTGGTTGTCACAAGGCACACCAAAGGCTCATCCCATGCCCATGGCCCAAGGATGCTAGAATGCTGAACTGGCTGAACAGATCCTGCACCTTTAAAACTTAGAAACAGAACAGTCAAAAACAACCATCTTAATGTCTAAGTCCACATGTATTTAAATAAAAAGGCAAAAATAGTATGCATATATATATATATATATATATATATATATATATATACTGTGTGTGTATATATACATATATAGATAGATATAGATGTTATATATATTTATAAAAATTTGAAGGTTAGTTATTTTGTGATAAATAACAAAAGGAAATAAGCATGCCTGCTAGTAAAAAGGGCATCTTTGGTAATTATGATAGTAAATTCAGTCTTGATAAGAACATTTCAAAAACACAATTTCCTGAAAGCTATTTTTCATGAGACGTTCTCAACAATATACTGAAGGGTAACTGGAAACTAGTTCTGAATATTTCATTTTGGACAAAAAATATAGGCTTTTCACTTTGAGATCATGATCTTGTCCTCAAACATTAATTCCTTCACCAAAAAGAAAAGCCCTGCTCCAGCCATGTGGGTTTTAGTTTTTCACTGAAGCCTCTTCTTTGTTTGGAATGGTCTTCATATTACCCCCAAAGAATTACACCAAATGGCCAAAGGGCTTTCTTTATCTGTTGGCCTTAATGTTCTAACTGATATATACAGCATTTTGCAAACATTCTCTGGCCTTTCTGGAGACACTAGCATTAAAACCAATGCACTGGCCAAGGACTACTTAGGAAACAGACTGCACTGACCACCAGCTGGAGGGACAACTTGGTCAAGTAATTTCATGCTGGTTTTCTTCCAAATTTTCTTTATCACAGCCCGAAGTTCTTCATTAGCTTGCTCCAGGTTCCCTGGATTCAAGAAACAAAAGGGGAAAACAAGGCTTGTTTCTATTCCCCAGCTTCTCCTCAGATTGCACAGCCTCATCCCAGCCTGACCTGGATCAACATGCTGCCCTCTGATGGGGCTCCCCTCAGGCCGGCCTCCTCTCCCCTCAGGCCGGCCTCCTCTCCCCACACGCCGGCCTCCTCTCCCCTCACGCCGGCCTCCTCTCCCCTCAGGCCGGCCTCCTCTCCCCTCAGCCGGCCTCTCCCCTTAGGCCAGGCTCTCCCCACACGCCGGCCTCCTCTCCCCTCACGCCGGCCTCTCCCCTCGCACCGGCCTCTCCCCTCACGCCGGCCTCCTCTCCCCTCACGCCAGCCTCCTCTCCCCTCACGCCGGCCTCCTCCCTCCTCACGCCGGCCTCTCCCCTCACGCCGGGCTCACCCCAGTCAGGGGCAAAGACACTTCCTATATTCAGCAATAGTAATCACCCCTTCCCTGTGGGAAGTCCCTCCACTAAGGGAACAAACATGGTTCGCCCTGTAATTCATGGCCTGTCCCACTCTGATTCCATCCTACCCTCCCACAGCCAGGACCTACTCTTTGCTTTCCACTGTTTCCAGCCCAGAATGCCTTTGCCTTCCGCTCTTTCACTGGTCGTTTCAAATCGTACCTCCTTCCTTGAAGATCCAGCCTAAATTTCACCCAAATAAGACTCTCAATTCCTACGATATGTACTCCTCCGTACAACATAACCTTGGCCTTTTATTATGAGCTGACGCTTGACTTTTTCAACTAACATGTCAGCATAGAAGACCATTCTGCCTTCTAGAACCCCTAAGAATGCTGGCCTGGGGCCAGGTACAGGCAAGCATGCTACAAAGGGGCCCTGTTAGGCTGGAAGAGGCTGGCTTTGTTGGATCGAGGCTCCCTGGGCTCCAGGGTTGGAAGAAGTCACCTGCCTGCACTCAGCATGGGTCCCTCGCTGCCTCCTCTTCCCTCTCCTCCAACTAGTGCCTCAGTGAATCAGCTGCCCTTGAGGTCTACACCTCCCACCTCCCACACCTCCTGGTCACTCCTCAACCTGTTGCAATCTGCTTTCCATTCCAACTCTGAGGTCACCACTGAGCCAGCTCCAATGGCCACACTCTAGTGCCTGTTTTGCCAGGATTTGACCAGGGCTGAGTGTGGCTGTGAAGGCCATTCTGGGCTGGTTGGTCTCTTAGCTGGGAAGATGCTGATCCCACCATATTTCCCAAGTGCTGACTATGTGCTAGGCGCTGCAGAGGAGCTTTTGTAGACATCATCTCATTTCATTCTCAGGACTTCCTGGACATCCCTGTATTTATTTCCTTTCTATGGAGAAAGAAACTACAGCTCAGACCAGTGAAATTCCTTAGTGTAGGTCATGTAACTAGTAAGGAATGGCTCTGAGTGCATTTGTGATGGCTCCATCTCTGCTCTGACACCTTGCCTGTTTCCCCTGCTATGTAGTAAGCAGTGGTATGAGTCAACTCAAAACATTCTGGGACAGAGTGAAGCATAAAGCAAGGAGAGAAAGAATGAGGAGGCAGGAGGCAGGGGCCAGCCGGTCAACCCAGCATGGACATCCCCATTCTACCCAGCCCCTTCCCCAGGGCCTCCCCTTGGCCAAGAAAAGGCCTAAATTAGGAAGGCAAGGTGGGATGTGATATCTCTTTCCTTTCCTACCATCTTGTCTTGCTGCCAGGGAATGCTCACCTTCGGTCTTGATCTTAAGAGCCGTTCGAACCAAGGCGAACAAGGTCGCATTAAACATGACTGTCCCGTCACTGTTGAGAGGCATGTTCATGGCAACTAATCTCTGTAAACAGAAAAGAAAATTTCTTTGTAGAGGGCAAATGAGTGATCACAGTCATATCCTGATGGATCTTTATTTTCCGCTTATCACTCTTCTCTTTTCTAGTTAACCCTCAATTCAATTCAACAGCCACTTGGGGGTTACTCATATGATGGTTAATTTATGTGTCAAGCTGACTGGGCCATGAGATGCCCAGTTGGTTAAGCATGATTTCTGGGTGTGTCTGTGAGGATGTTTCCAGATGAGATTACCATGTGAATTGGTAGAGTAAGTAAAGCAATGCCCTCCCCAATGTGGGTGGGCCTCATCCTGTTGTTGAGGGCCCACAGAGAACAAAAAGGTGGGGGAAGATTTAATTCTCTCTCTGCCAGCCTGATTGAGCTGGGACACCAGTCTTTTCCTGCCTTCAACCGAGGCTTACACTATGGGCTCCCCTGGTTCTCAGGACTGCAGACTCAGATTGGACACCACCACCAGGTCCCTGGGGCTCCAGCTTGCAGATGGCAGACCATGGAACTTCCCAGCTTTCATGATCACATAAGCCAATTCCCCATGACAAACCTGTGTGTGTGTATATGTATATATACATATGCGTATATATACGTATACATACACAAATACACACACACACACACATATACACATATACATCTCCATATCCATCCTACTGGCTCTCTTTCTGTGGAGAACCCTGATTAATACAATCTATCATTTAGGGGACTCTGGGAGGACAAAGATCAAAGGTTTAGTCATGAAATATAAACGCTAACATGCAGATGATGTATTTTGTTTTTTAAACAGTGAAACCTCACTGTTCAAGCAGTCTTCTCCTTTTTTCATCAACCCCAATGGAGGTCTTAGTGTCCGATCTCCATTTCAGGCACATTTGTTTGTTTGTTCGTTTGTTTAGAGATGAGGGCTTGCTTTGTTTCCCAGGCTGGTCTTGAACTTCTGGCCTCAAGGGATCCTGCCTCCCAAAATGTTGGGATTACAGGTGTGAGCCACCGTGCCCAGCTCAGGCACATTTTTAAAGCTGTTGTGAGAGTTAAAGGAAGTAAATCACAGTGGGCCAGGCACAGGGCCTGGAACTTAGGTTCTCAACCAACAGGATCCACTACTATTCCCTTCAAGGAACCTTCCTATTGAGACCATTATGTACATCTTGTAGCATTTTGCATGAATCTGCATGGCTTCTCCCAGGGTTTGGTCTTTCAGAGCAGGATCCACGCTCCCCACTCCTCTTCTATCTCATGATCCCTTTAGCACCAGCAATGAGAGTTGGAGGGGACGTGGGTGAAGGACACCCTCTCTGGGCCCCAGTCACTTCAACCTGTAAATGCTGATGACATGCCCAATGGATGGGACCTTGCAAAGGTTAAAGGACTCATAGACACAAAGAGTTTTGTGTCAGGCACATGGCAAGCACTAAATAAATGGTAATGTTGATAATATTGAAAAACTTCATGTTCCAAAAGAAAAAGATTTTTTCTCTTCCGTACTGATGTATCGGAATCTTGTGTCTGCATAGTCCATCCCACCCAAATTCCTAGTCCTCCTTCCAACCCCCAGCCCCCTCTCCAAACCAGCACAGGCAGCCAAGGAACCCGGGACATTTGTTCACTTTTCCTGGCAAGTTCCTGCGTCAGCAAAATGGATGACTGTGCCGCAAGGACACCTGAAAGCTCTGTGTAAAAGAGTCTGGAAATTTACACACGAGATGACATTAGTGAACTGGATCCCATACTGTTCTTGGAAAGCAGAAAAGAGGCTAGTACTGGGAAGTTTATGGAAAAAAAAAAAATGTCAACCTCTGTTTCTATCTCCAGACTCCGGCCTCAGGAGAGGCAAGCACCCTACAGACTTGCCTATAGGGCTTTCTGGATTTTCAGGGCATGGGACATGAGTTTGGCTCAGGGCATTTCTTTGAGAGTCTGAAACACATTTTAGACTCTGTTTTGCTACCTTGGTTTCTGTCTAGATCTGGCTCAGCACGCTGGAGTGGTAAAACACCCAACCCCAGGATCTCCTTGGATCCACGAGGAACAAGAACTAGTTGCTATGTAGGCTGGATGAATGTCTATAAAGGCAGAGTTTCAAGAGGCAAATCCTGTATTTCTCCTTGAAAAAACAGAAACCCTTTTCTGTTGCTACAACAAATGTAAAGTGCTGCACTGTGAGCTCTGTGGAAGGAAAAGTGTCATTGAGGGTCCCTGAGAGCATGCTCTGGCATGGAAACACAGAAATGGGTTGCAATGGGAGACCTGGGTCCATCCCTGAGAGACCAGGGCCTGGTGTGCCAGAAAACAGACCCCATCTCCTGTGATGGCCACAAAGCTCTGCAGCAGAGGGGACGTGTGGAACACATAGCACTGTGTCCCCCGCTGCTAAGGCTGGGAGAGGCATTCTCCTCGCACTCCCACTCCCCTCACCCAGGCCACTGAGTCCTTGTCCTAAGTGGATCTCGGAGCGACCACTCCTCTCTCTTCCCACTTCTGCTGCCTTCGTTCTGGGTCTCCTGGTTGGTCCTCCTGCCTCAGGTCTACTTCTCCATTGCCAACAGTCACCTTCCTAACACAGAAACCTGAAATTCGTGTTTCTTCCCCATTCTCCTGGGCCTCAGCAGGCCAGAGAAGGCTCAGCTTGTGCCTGGGGCCTTCTGGCACTTCCTCTTGCGTCCTAGCCCAAGGGTGACCCAGTGACTCACCCTTTGCCATTCCGTCCATTCTCCTGCCTCCTTCTGAGCCTTTCCTCCCTCTGACAAACTCCTATGTTCCTTCTGAACTTGACTGAAATGTCGCCTTCCCCACCATCCATGCAATGACAAATTACAGAATTCCCTTCCTCTTCTGATGGTTCCTGACAGGGTGTTCAAAAAGTTATAAATCTGAGCATTCTCCAGAGGTAGGAACCATGTATTATTCATCTCTGCATCCCCAGCACCTGACGAAGGCCTGGCCGTGTCACTTACCAAGTGTGTGTTAAATGAAGGGAACGTCTACAAGAGAGGCTGTCAGACATGCACACAGGACGCTCACCTTGCACGCTACTCTGTGTGGACATAACTTCCCAAACCCCAGGGGAGGCTGGATGCGTCGAAGCAGAGTGACCACATCAAGGTGTTTGATCCTTCCCCTGGAAGTAAAATACAACACGAGGTCCAGGAACAGTACCAGCTGGCCCGAACTTTCAGTCCACTCCACAAAAACCACAGCTGACATTCCAAAATCCACCCACACACACCAAAGCGCATCTTTTTCAACCTACTTTGCCTCAGGGTCATATTCTGACCATATTCTTTTGAATTCATCTAAATGGTGAGGCCCCAAAATAGACCAGTCCCGGGTCAGATAGTCAAAATTATCCATGATGACAGCCACAAATAGATTGATGATCTGAAAAAGCAAATCAGAAGGGAAGAACTTCAGCTGCAGCTGGATAGGGTTAGAACTTAGCATAGGCCTTCTAATTACATGGAATGAAACATGGGAACCCATGTCTCCAAGAGACATTGTAAAAACTTTCTATTTGGAGAATGTTTAAGGAAAGAGTGGGGTTCTAGCTTTCTGGAACGGCTTTCAAAAACTCCTGGGGAAGGCAGGCCTTCTGAAACACATTGCAGTTTTATAATTTCATTATCACCAAATAATTCACACTCTTAAGTCACCAACATACACACTGGCTTAGACATTTTAGAAAGGAGCCCTAAGAAGCTAAGGTGGTTGGTAATTGCTCCAAGTCTATTAGCGAGCACCAAATCTCTGCTTACAAAGGTGGCAGCAGTGACACGTGCCTGGTTAAACAAAAGCCCTCAACTGCCAAGTGGAGTCCAGAGTGCTCACCCACATCAACTGTCCTTGAATGATGGGACAGGGCAAGGTCGCTGGTGTGAACACTGAATGCTACATAAGCATCTGTACACTGAGAGGGGTAGCTACTTTGAGCACTTACCAGAAACGCACAGAGCATGTAAAAACTGATGAAATAGACAATGGCAAAGTTGCTCCCACATGTATACTCCTCCCCGGGATTGTAATCTGACTCAGGGTCACAGAGCTTCCCTGGGAGGCAGGCCAGCATGATCTCCTGCCAGGCCTCACCTGTCGCACACCTTTTTCAGATTAAGAAAAAAGGGGCTTTAGTGGAGGAAAAAAGGAATTTAAAGCTTAGACCTTAGGGGAGAAAAACTCATTAACAGAGCAAAACCTTAGTCATTTGGGGAAAATCCAATGTGAGCTAATGAAAATCTGAAATTCCTACTTGTTTTCACATGCAACTTATCACAGTAACCCGAGGTTCTGCTGCAGTTCCCTTTGATTTATAGCCATCATCTTATGCAAGTGTACTAATTGTATAAATGATGCTTGTTTTTGTGTCTTATTTACTTCAAACATTTGTATTATAATTAACATTAATTGTTGTTGTTATTTTTTGAGACAGGGTCTTGCTCTGCCCAGGCTGGAGTGCAGTGGTGCGATTTTGGCTTACTGCAGCCTCGACCTCCCGGGCTCAGCCTCTCCAGTAGCTAGGACTACAGGCACCCACCACCATATCTGGCTAATTTTTGTATTTTTAGTAGAATCAGGGTTTTGCCGTGTTGCCTGGGCTAGTCTCGAACTCCTTAGTTCAAGTGATCCACTCACCTCAGCCTCCCAAAGGGCTAGGATTACAGGCACGAGCCACTGTACCCGGACTATTAATTATTTTTAATGACCAAAATACTTAAGCAGTTGAGTCTATGTTCAATTTTGTTGAAGGCAGAGTTAAAAACCACCTAACTTGCAAATGACTTGTTAGTCACTAGAGTCACTAGAAATACTTCATGATCTCTAGAAAATTCTCTATGAGGGCAGCTTGTTTACAAAGTTAATTAACTGGGGTTAAAAGCAACCTTATAAAATTTGAAATCATACATCTTAGGATGTTCCCCACTGGCTGTGCAAAAGGCTTCTACGTTTTTGCTATGTTTCTGTCTTCCAGTCATATTTAGTGTATGCTTCCATGCGTAAACATACATCCCACAATTTTACCTGTGTCCTAAGTAGCCTAACTCCCAAATGAATAAACCTTATGCCAACCACAATCAGGATTACCACAGCAGTTTTAACAATCCAGTGAAATTCCTGTGTTTGAAATGCTAGGGTCTGTGTTTAAGAATACAAAACAAACAAAAACAAAAAGCTATCACAATCAACTGGGAAAGGCACACTGCTTTAATAACCTGTGTCCTCCATCCCTCCGGACCCAGAGCTAGCGGGAGACTCACATCCCTGCCCAGAAGCACCGCCCACACCAGCCAGTCCAGTCACCTGAAGAGCAGCAGCACCGCCTGGGGAAACGTCTGGAAGTTATTGTTCCTATTGATCTGGTTGTTATCTCTCATGGCAACTTTCCCAAACATCTAGGTGGAGAAGTTTTAGGAAAAACAGAATAGATTTCATCATGCAAAAAAAAAAAAAAAAATCCATATGTGAATTCAGAACTAACTCAGGTTTGATCTTTACCAACTAAGGTTTTCTCATGGTACCTGGCACTTTACTCATTCAACAAAGATCTGCCAAGCACAACCATGTGCCAGGCAGCGGGTTACACATTGGGAACATGGTGCTCCAGATGGGCACAGTCTCATGTTCGAGGATCCCCTGCCCTGGGGGAGAGACACAAGGGTAGACAGGCAACATCAAACACCAGGATGATACTGGGGTGGTCCAGATACACAGGAAGCATGAGACAGGCTCATCCACCCAAGGCTGGGGGGCAGGGCCAGGGAACCTCTAGGGGGAAGTGACATGTAAACTCAGAACTGAAAGATACATCAGGCGTTAAGAAAGGTAAAGAGTGTTTCCAGTGGAGGAAGCACCGTGTCTCACAGGGGCAGGGTGACAGAATAGATACCGAGGGAATGAACATCACATGTGTGAGGAGCAGACAGATAAAAGACCAGGCTGGAGGCAAGGGCAGGAGCCAACAGGCAGGGGCTGTGAACCCCGAGCAGGATAGCGGGCTTTACCTTCAGGGCAATGGGAGGGTACTACAGACTTTTACTTTTGAGACTTAGAAGCAGACTGACATTCCAGAGAAGGCTGCAGAGGCTTACAAACGCTTGCTGGGTGAATCCGGAGGGGTGTGTGTCATGCAGTTTGCAGTTCTGAGGCAGCTCTTTTTTATATGAGAAAATATGTGATAAAAGACCTTCCAGGGCACACAGAACCACGTGCTGCTGAGTCACAGAGGCTCAAGTTTGCTGACTTTTGTTTCATAACTCTGGGTAAGATTCCCAGAGACCTGCCAATGCTTCTATGCTTTCAGGATTTTTTTTTTTTTTAAGCACTACCATTTCTCTGCTCCTAGAATCACAGAATCGCTTCATTTCTTTGTCACTTACATCCCTCCTTTATTGAAAGATGGCACCTGCACACGTGGAGAATCCGTAAGGAGCCTGCCAGCAGGGATCTGTAGGCACCTGGGCTCTCCTACCGCCTCCACTCTTAGAGGCTGCCTCCCTCCACTCTGCCTGGGGAGGCAGGGTTATCAGGGTTTGTTTCAGGCTTTCCTCAACATACCTACGGGCATTTTCTTCCTATCCACAACCCATCCCACCACCCACTTGGTGTTAGGGCTCCTCTGTTTGGGAGGCACGGTCCCTTTCCCACGCCCAGGAGGAACTGGGAAACAGGCCTCAGCCTCTCAGCTTGGGTCACAGAAGAGCCCATTTTCATGCCTCCTTTTAAAGGTGAGCTACTAAAGTACAACAATGGTCACAAAAGGCATTTGGCTTAGCACCAGCCTTCTGTCCCCACGATGGCTCAGCACAGACTGAAAAGACCCATGAGGGGCCACATGCTTCTTTCCTCAGTCTTAGCAACTGGAAATATTTAGTTTCAAGTGAATCTCACTTTGTTATGATAAAGCGTAATTCTTCTGCCATGAAATGCAACTTTTCTCGGCACATTCTATGCTTTCTACATTCTTCTGAGCCTGGGCCTCCCCTGGAGTTCTCTCCCAAGCAGCCATGTCTTTTATGTCTTCCTATGGCTTCAGCAGAGGGGTCTGGCTGAAAAAATCACAGCGCTTCTGCTTTACCTGGTCAATGTACATCTTGCTACAGATTTGGGGCTACCCAGTGAAAGGGACCCTGAGGGCGGGATGGCTGGAGCTTACCTGCATGCCAATGACCGCGTAGATGAAGAACAGCATGGCAATGAGGAGGGCCACATAGGGGAGTGCCTGGGAGAGAAAAGGCACTGGGCTCAGTACCGGCTGGCTGTCCCATGAGAAGACCCATGAGAGGCTACATGCTTCCTTTCCATTCCACGTGTTACAGTGAAAGAACCCCGACCACGAGGAAGAACAGTTCAAATCCCAGCACTGCACAACTACTTCAGTCCTGAAGACACCATCCACACGCACGCCCACTGTTACAATATTATAGGCAGGATGGGCTCGCCATGGTCACCAACCCTGTAGCCTGACCCTAAACACAGACACATCACTCTCATGATAATTCCTAAATTCATTACTGGAGTTTTTAGGTGAAAATATAATTGATCAAACCATTCCAGAACACTGGACACTTAGAGTACTTCCACTTCGTTTTGTGGGTATGTTTTGGGGGATGGTACTGTAGGTAATGTTGCAAAGGAGTATCTTTATGCAAAATCACCTTGCTTCTGCTGAAGTATTTCCTTAGGGTGAAGTCTTAGGAGTGGAATTACTGGGTCAGAGGGGAAGAGCCACTTTCTGGCTGTTGCTGTAGAATGCAAAATACCTTTCTTAAGATGCACACCTTCTGAAAGGGCTGCTAAGTTCGGGGGCAGGGCAAGGGAAGGAAAGGAGTGAGCTGGGGGGTCGCCAAGTGTGGCTCTCTTCAGAAACACCAAATGCAAGTGTCTGACAGAGCCCCCATCCTTTAATTGAATGTTCCTCAACTGCTGTCTACCTCATCACATGTGACAAACACGTCCACATGCATAGGGTGCCCAGATTGTTAAGCTTAATTCTGGGAACACACACTTAAAACACCCGCTTTCTCTATTATCTGAGAGAGCTCATCAGAAAGTCAGTGGCTCACAAGTGCCCAGCCACCTTCAGACCTGTGCCAGCTGTGGACCTGTGCCTGCCAGCCTGGCCTGGTACAATAGGCCCTCCCAGCAGCTGGGCTGCTCAGCAGGCTCCCACAGGGTTTGTTTCAGGCTTTCCTCAACATACCTATGTACATTTTCTTCGTAGATTTCCAAATGTTTAAGATTATTGTTTGCACAGTTTCTGCTTGTATGAACCACTACTCTGGAACATGACTTTCTTATCTGTGGCAGATTGAATCTTGAAGAATTTCTTTAAAAAGTGAGATGATATTACCTCCGAATTATCTATTTTTTATAGCAGTTTGTTCCTAGGTTTTGGTACTTTACATGAATAACAACTGCCAAAGATTCTGTGCCTTAGCAAGTCCAAGGCTAAGCTGCCTGAGGCCCTACTCTACCTTCCTCCAGCCTCACTCTCCCCAGCAGGACCTGTGACTTCCCTTGGGAGTGCCTGCATCGCCCCCCACCCCAATGCTGTCCCTTATCCCTTTTACCCATGAAAATTCCATCCACTAGGGACAAACGCTTACTTGGTAACACTGGTTATCCCAGGGGTGGGTGAGGGGCGAGTTTTAATTTTATCTTTATTTATCTTTGGACAGCTTCATTTGTTGTTGTAAACATTTATTACTTTTGAATGAAAAATAGTCAAGTAATTTTTAAAAATGAAGGTGCATGATTCACTTTCTAATGTTTGTGCATATCCACAAATTCCCTTCCTGGGTGCACCTTTTAATAAGAATCTCTATTTCCCATACTTCCTTCTCCAAATGGAATCAGTCCAGAAGGCTAGAACATCTGAGGCAGGGTAATGGCAGGTAGAAGAAAAGCTGGTTCTGCTCAGGAAAGTCTAGAACTGAGCTGTACCAGCCTGGAGAATCAGAGGTGACAAATGAGACATGGCCTATGCCTGAACATCCTGAACTTTGTGACCCTTCCAGGTGCAGGATAACCCAGTGATGGTGTGCTGGCCCAGGTGGTGGCTTCTGATATGTTATCCAGACCAGTCAACAGACAGCACTGCTGCAGCCTTCTGAGGAGAAGGAGTCAGAGAGAGGCTGCTGGGCTTCCAGGCAGTCTGCTGGGACCTGGGACTCTCATGTACCTCCGCCAGGCATCCCGGAAGCACTGCAGGGCTGCAGACCCCACACCGCTCTGTCTTGGAAATGCTGCAGCTCTCTCAGCTATGGGTCCTTCCTGCTTTCTCTTCTGTTTCCTTTAGGCAAGTAATCTCATGGGATTTACCCAAGAAATGCTAAGTTGGGTCTCTCCGGCATGCCATGTGTTCTATTGACCTAAGTCCACACAGGGGGAGCCTGGGTCCTCTAGGACGGGCATAATCATTGACCTACATATGATCTTCAAAGACAAAGAGAGAAGTCCTTAGCATGGCCCTTACCTGAAAGGACTTAATAAAAGTCCACAGCAATGTCCGGATGCCTTCCCCCCTGCTGAGAAGCTTCACCAATCGCATCACTCGGAAAAGACGGAAAAAGGTGATGGAGATTCTATTGCTCTCTTCAGAGTTCTGAAGGGTTATCATGGAGAGGTCAAACCCAATGGAAAGTAGAACATGCAACACTTTCAGAAAAACAGCAACAGATGCAAAGGTGACAGAGGTAAGAACTGAAGATGTGATTCTGGGGCCTTTTCATCTTAAAAAGCATGATATGAAAGGAAGAGTTACATGCTAACAACACAGAGCTTGGGAAACTGCATCCACACAGCACATGCATGTCCACGTGTTCTACTGTGTTAGAGGAGAACGCTGGGCTGGTCAACAATACTGGACACTGATGATGAATGCAAACCACTGCAGACACTGTTCTGGAAGGACAATCATGGAGAATACAGAAAAACCAGTGGAAAACTCGACATGGTCAAATAAACTCAAGGAAAAGGCCCAGCCCCTGGGGACTAGTTGCTGATCTTACCCCAGGTGTAGCAGTTGGGACAGGGACACTTTCACTTTCAGTTGGCTTTAAGAAATCAAAGATTGAAAATGGATTAATGAACCACGAAGGAGTCAATGTTTCTGGAGAGCATTTCCCCCTTTTAAAAAATGCGTGCCTCCTGTCTTTGGACAACACACCTGCTCCCTCCCTGAGAAAATACCAGTGGCTTTCCTTGGAGCTGGACTTGAGGGCAGGCAGCCATGGACGTGGGCACGGACACACTACCACTTTCTAATTCACGTCCGAGGACACGCTGTGCCCAGGCTAACAGGCATCCAGTAAGAACAGTGTCTCAAGACCTCAACTGTCCCTAGAGACAGATGCAGAGCCTGCCCCTGCTTCTCACAGAGAGGCTAGTTCTCTTGGCTTGGTCAGGGCTATGGGTCTCAGGAACTAGTCTCTCTGCAGCACGCCCCCTAGCCCCAGAGAACGGAATGTCTCCAGTAGCGTGGCAAACAGCGGTGCCTGCCTGTGGGCCGCAAGCTCCCTGGGACCACACTTTGTTCCCATGAGACCAAACGCCTGGGCGGTATACATCTGACAACAGACTCTTTGGTGGGGCTGCTGAGGAGCTGGACAGACTGAGTCAGGGTGAGGAGGAGAGAGGTGGGCTTCCCTACACAAGCCCTCACTGCCCACCCCACAGCTCAGATAGCTTTCACACAAGAGGAAATTCAGGTCTATATAGTCTTTGGAAGAAACAGTGGAGGGCCAGCTCTCCTGAGGTTCAGCAGCTCCACCTCCTCCAGGGTCTGGCTGGGCTGTTGTTCTTTGGGACCCAGGATATAGAATCTGTGATGGCTGGTGCTCACCTGCCCCCCCCCACCCAACCCCCACCCACAGAGAGGGCAGGGGCCTTGCCTTATTCCACGCCATGCCCAGCATGGTGCCTGACACTTCCCGAGTATTCAGAAAGTGTCTGAACGCAGAGTTGGAAGCAAACTCCAGCTAGCACCAGGAAGCATCTTTACATTCAACAGCAACAGTAAGCGGTACCAGAGCCAGCATGTGCCGGCCTCTCTTCCCCGACAGAGAGGAATGGGGCTCTTCTGGTTAGGGGCTTCAAGGAGCCTTTCTGTACAGTCTGTCTGCAAAGTTAAGAAACGTGCACACATCTGGATGTGCGCACTTCTCGAGGGCCTCCTCCCTGGGGATCGGGGGAAAGAAGAGCTCAGTTCTGAAGCCTCTCTAGCATCAAGGGCTACCTCCTGAGACCAAAGAGAAATTCTACAAAATTCACAGAAAATAAGGGGTTGGAGCACATTACAGAACAACTGAAAATCAGCATCGTGACTGTGAAACCAAGATCAACAGGTTTGATGGAGTTTAAAATGGGTCCTTGCTTCTCCTGGGATGCTCAGAATGGGAGCTCTGCAACAGGTTTATCAAGAACCCAGGGCCGCTATTTTTATTTCCCTCTTCCATTAGCTCATTTCAAAAGAAATACCACTTCCTTCAAGGGACAGATAATGTTTTTCATCTTAAGACCTTAACAAAGGAAGGAACTAACTTTTGAAACTTCTCATCGTCTTCCACATCATTCTCACTAAGGCTGTGCACAGGAAGGCTCCACTCTGGCCTGTCTGGCTGGAGTGTGGGGTGAGCGTGTGTGCTAAGTGTGCATGCATGCACGCCTCTGCTTGCCTGATTTCAGGGGACCAGGCAGTGTGCACAAGACAGACGGCTCTACAGTTACCCTTTTGAAACATGCACGACTTATGTATCAGCCCTGCGGCACCTGTTGGTCAGGGAAGACGCTCCTAACCACAGTCTGGCCTTAGACCCTCCTGTGTGCCTCTCCCTATTCTGCTTCATGTCTGATAGGCCATTCATGTCCCCCTTCCTTAGGGTTCGTGAAAGTCAGCAACCGAACTGAATTTCGAAGTGTACATCTCTTCAACTGATATCTCTGAAATGTAACAACCTATGGACTATGAACTTCAAACCATGAATATTCTCTTGTTTAAAAGAACAAAAGGGAGGAGGAGACAGCATTTGTAAAGGGACAGGGCAGCACAACATGCACAGGAGGAAGGAAAGAGCAAACAGCACACCAGACTTCATGCGCCCTCCAACGCGCCTGCGACACCTCCCCTCCCACGCACCACTGGGCAGGGAGGGCTGCTTCAGGGGAGGATGTGACCAGCAGCTCTGGGGGGACAGTGCAAGTTGCCAAAATATCTTACAAATTTAAAGAACCCTGAGGATGGCTTTGCCCAAATGACAAATGTCAGCCAAATGAAAAGGGCAGGTCAGCTCTCATGCCAGCCTGCACACTAAAAGCACCTGGGGATCTTTAACAAAATCTCTGAAGTCCAGGTCCCACCCCAGAGATTCTTACTTAATGGACCTGGGGCATGTCTCCATGTTGGGAATTTTATTATTTTTTTGAGGCGGAGTTTCCCTCTGTCACCCAGGCTAGAGTGCAGCGGCATGATCTTGGCTCACTGCAACCTCTGCCTACAGGGTTTCAGTGATTCTTCTGCCTCAGCCTCATCAGTAGCTGGGATTACAGGTGCCCAACACCTTGCCTGCCTAATTTTTTTGTATTTTCAGTAGAGATGAGATTTCGCCATGTTGGCCAGACTGGTCTCCAACTCCTGACCTCAGGTGATCTGCCTACCTCGGCCTCCCAAAGTGCTGGGATTCAGGCATGAGCCACCACACCCAGCCTGCATGCTGGGAATTTTAAAAGCTCCTTGGTGATTCAAATGTGCTGCCAGAGCTGAGAACTCCAGTCCTGGACCAGGGTAAAGCTGGCCCAAGTAGTTAGCAGGTAGCCCATACTAGCTAATGCCCTTTAGGTCTCGAGTGGCCATACAGAGTGGGGTTGCTAGAAAAGCCCATTCAGGCTGCTGTAGCTGAGCAGTGGGTTCTTTTTGAGTTGATGAGAAATCAATACTCAGATGCAGACAGAGAGATTAGACCCCCTTCCCATCTTCTTTACAAGGGATGGAGGAGGCTTGAACATGAAGGGAGCTGGAGGAGCTGGAACGCCAGTGGGCTATGCTATGCTGGACATCCCTAGAGGACACCAGACTGGGGAAGGACTCTTCACTAGGTGGCTTTCAAGGACAGCTTCAAGGGTCCGCTAATCAGTTTTTAATAGGGGGAATTCCAGTGTTACCTCAGGGCTTAGACAAGCTTAGCAGTTCCCTCCCACCCTAAGATGTCACATTCTTCAGCTGGGAACCCTACAGGAGGCAGCCCCTTAGCCTCAGAAGGCTGGACTACATGTCAGAAGGCTCCTTAGATTCCTGGGGCTCTGCTAATGTGGGGGCTTTCCTGATTTTCCCTCAAGCCTTTTCCTACAGGGCTCTCAGGCAGGCTTTTACCACATATGCTCTGGGGCAGCCCCCTGAAACTGTGGAAGCCAAAAAGACCATGAGGTTCCCAAACGAAATCAGTCCATTTCATTTTCTGTATTAATTTCTACCTGTGCTTGGAAGAGTTGAGAGGATGCAGTTTTCTAATTCAGATAGGAAGCAAACCAGCATCCCAGAACAGCTGGGCCAGGTAACCCAAGGCATTGTGGAGAAGCCAGTCTTTTGGGGGAGCATCCCTCTGACTATTTCTGAGCTGGCAGGCAACACCTATGGAAGGAGGACTTCTTTATTTGGGGTCACTGGGTCTGTGTCCACGACCAGTGCCTAGCTGAGCTGGCTCCTGGGAAAGGGCTCGCATATGAAGTGGGGGACTACACAACCTTAGTGTGGGGTCAGAAAAAGAAGATGAGTGGTCCACCGTCAGCCACCTGGTCCAAACAGTATACCTGAAAAAGCAGGGACCATTCCTGGGTCTCTGAGAGTGAGCTCCCTAATGACTTTTTTTTTTTTTTTTTTTTTTGAGATGGAGTTTCACTCTTGTTGCCCAGGCTGGAGTGCAATGGCGTGATCTCGGCTCACCGCAACCTCCGCCTCCTGGGTTCAGGCAATTCTCCTGCCTCAGCCTCCTGAGTAGCTGGGATTACAGGCATGCGCCACCATGCCCAGCTGATTTTTTGTATTTTTAGTAGAGATAGGGTTTCACCATGTTGACCAGGATGGTCTCGATCTCTTGACCTCGTGATCCACCCGCCTCGGCCTCCCAAAGTGCTGGGATTACAGGCGTGAGCCACCGCGCCCGGCCCCCTAATGACTTTTTACTTGCTCCTTCAAGGTAAGTAATATAAGGCAGACTTGGCTTCTAAACAAGTATTTTGCCTCCCAGGCACTAATGATAATGAGAATAGACAAATGTCAGTGATAGCTATCCCCAGGTTAGGAACAATATGTTGCTGGGTCATGTCATCATTCAAGGAACAAATAGGCATCAAGGAGGGAGGGAGCAAGAGGGAGCCCACCAGTCATTATTGACGTTTTAGCAGCCTGGTGAGGTTAGGACCAAACGTGATGGGGACAAGTCCATGAACACTGCCAAACCAGGAACAGAGCGGGCTGTGGGGAGGTGGGAGGGGGCAGTGGTATGGAACAGGCTGGTGTGCGTGCAGGCAGGACCATGCAAAGGACTACCCAAAACGTTTCCGCAAAGAATACAAACGCAGGCTGAATTCAATCGTTTCTCAGCCAGATCATTCATTCTGGGAGACTATGTTGGCAAGTCACAGAGCCAAGTGTGACTGACCAAGACGGCCTCAGGCAGGAGACGACAATATATGGGATGGGGAACAATTCAGATGATTGCAACCAATCCTTAGCACGTCCTGTGAAGCGTGGTGAAAACCAAAGGTGGAGAGCCAAAAACAAGCACACAGTCTTTAGAAGTGCTTTGCTTTAACGACTTCACCGTATATATGCATATATATACTTGCCGCTACAATTTTCTAAAAATAAAACCAACATGAAAATCAATTAGGCAACAGAAAAGAAAGATCAACAGAGTTGGGGGAGAGAGAGCACAGCAGATTTAAACATTGCAAACAATGATGCTACAACCAGCCGACAATGAACCAAGGGTGTTCATGCTCAGCTGACAGCTGACCCCGCAGCTCAGGGGACAAGGCCACTGAGGATGTGATGTGCACTGCTCCCCAGGGGAGCTGCTTGTGGAGGGTGTCGGAACCAGCAGTCCCACTGTCATGTAGTTACATCAGAGGTTAAGAATACCGAGTCTTTTTTTAAATCTTTGTGCCTCCCCACAGCCTAGCCCAGAGCCTGTGAGTGGTGGATGTCCAGCACATGTGTGTTAAAAGATTGAATAAATGTGAAGGCAGCCTTGAGCATCCCCTCTGTTCCAAGGCCGAGCAGGGAAACACTGAGATTTCTGAAGGTGGTGTTCTGCTGGCCCAGGGTGGGGAACCAGCATTGCCATGACTGAGGAATATTTGGTCTTGGGCCACAGCTGACCAGGAAAAATGTCACTGACTGAAAGCACATTCTGGGAAAGTCTGCCTGTGTGATTGGAAAGTTTAATTGCATGCCAAGAAGGGGGCCCCTGAAAGCCTGTCTTGTTCAGATACCTAATGTCAAATGCTAACTAGAAACTTCAGCATAGACCTGTCCCTTTCCTGACTGGTACAAGGTGAACACAGCAACACTGAGGCACCAATGAGCCAAGTTGGGTGATAGGAGACAGGGGCAGCAGGAGGAGCAGGGCCAGCCCACAGCACACGTGAGGCAGCCAGGAAGCCAGGTGCATGCTGTCCTTGAGTACACGGGTGCTACACCCCTGCCAGCCAGCAGGCAGGCCAGGAGTGAGAAAGCTGGGTGTCCCCAGGTGGACAGACCTTGGCCAAATCCTGGTGCCCAAAAGCTAAGTGTTTATACCCACCACCTGCACAGTGGTTGAAGCACTGAGCAGTCCAGGGAGACCTGCCGAGCTGCTAGTTTATTGTAGTTTCGCTTCCATTATAAACTGTCTCTGACTCACAGAAGGGTATGTTCCAAAATTTTCATGTAAATATACCTCCACGTCAACTGTAAGCAGTTTGTGTTGTGAGATGATGAAGCCGGCAGATGTCTAGCCATAAACTTGGGAGAGAGCTTGGGGCTGCCCAGTTAGGGACCTGCCGTTCTCCCATTAGCACCAGCTTATTTATATATCATGAATGGCAATTTTCATGGAAAATTTCACATCAAGTAGAATTTACATGTCTGGGCTTTAGGTGTTAGAAGATGTGCATACCTAGGTCTAACAAAGCACCATGTGAGTGCCTTGTCACGGTGTGGTGTGATGAAGCTTCAACCACACCCTCATGGACATGGTCATGTCTGACAGTCCATTTTACTTATTACAGGGATAACCCACACTTAGAATAATACCCTTGTATCTCCCTAAAACTTTGGGGTTTTTAGCAAGCATTTTCACAAGTATTCAGATCATTTTATCACTATAACATATCTGCGAGGCAAGGGGGTAGATGTTACGCACCCCACTTGGCCCATGAGGGAACTGGAGTCCAGGTCAGTTTGGAACTAGGGCTGCAACTGCCAGGTCTTGGGATTGCCAGGCTGGTGACTATCTTACTATTTACACGCCAGAATCGACGTGGCCCCAGGCAGGTGGCATAAAGGGATTTCATAGTCCTCGTGTGATGCAGGCTGTCTGGGCACCAGGATGGACCTTATAACCCTCACTCCTCCTGTAGATGCCACCAGGCAGAGCATAAAGGGCAGGGGGTGGGCTGGACACTGTGGAGCAAAAGCCAACACCAAACACAGACCCTCCCTGTGCTCTGCCCATTCTCTCGAAAGGCTCTGCACATCTTGGGCACACACACTGGATGCCCACTAAGACTTGCTGATGAACTGGAAAGAGATCAGGTAGACAGGGGCCTTTCTACCTGCCTGAGGCCTTCGGTCTAGCATGGGTCAGTCACAAGGAGAGCTAGGAGGCAGATGCGGCTCCCTTTCTCACACTTCTTAATTTAGCAGGGGGTGAGGTTTTCAGAACATTTCTAGGGAGAGGGGTTCACTCTGCCTACAATGCTGCTACAGCACTTGTTCCCCTCCCAAATGAGTCTACTGCATGTAGCAAAGGTGTACTGACATCCCCTCCCTGGTTCTCACTTGGCCCTCTTTTCCCTGGCCCCAAGTAGCCTTCTACCAGCTGGTGTCACTCTTTGGACGTGGGACATTCACTAGTTAGACTCAGAGCAGACATGGTACAGGTGAGGGCACGAGCAGCAGCCACCACACGCTCAGGGCATAGCTGTGGGGCCTCCCGCCTGTGCCCTCACAGAACCATCGTGGGGACGAGGGTGCACATCATTAACTCCAAGTACAGCTGGAAAGATGGAGGCACACAGTACTCGGATGACTTTCACGGTCACACGGCTGGTGAGTGAGAACATCCACAGGCACACACAATTAACTCCCAGCCCTTACAACTTTAATCAGATCTTTTGAAACACTCTTCTAGTTCCAAATGGCAATTCTATATAGGCTTCCCCACTCTTCTTCAGGGAAATGAGATAGAGATGGGGTGAGGGAGAGAAGACTACAAATTATCCTTAGTCTTTCAAAATAAATTTGTTTCTGGATTTCTAAAGTGTGTGGAGATTCATGGGCAGGGCCTCTGGTCTCTTCTATATCAGACTTAATGAAAACAACCACGATATAGGACACAAAGTTTGCTACTTACATTCACTTCAGTTATAGCAATATCAACGACGCTACCAACAACAATTAAGGCATCAAAAGTGTTCCATGCATCAGTGAAATAGTGCTGTTAGGGCAAGCATTCAGAAGCCACAGAGGAGAGGAAGCACCACAGGGAAAAAGAAGAAAAGGACAGTGTTATAAAAGGGGAACATTCTAGCACCACGCCACATGGCTACTTGAAACATCCCCCTAAAATAAACACGTTATAGATACGCCACTTTGGGTATCACTTCTGACACAGCAAATGAAAACAATTAGAGACATCCTATCTTACCTTGCCTACTAGTGACCTGGGTAAATGCCGCAAAAAGGCCTGTCCTCCGAAAGGTGACTTGTGTCTACAAAAGGCCCTGGGCTAAGGCCCTACCCTGAAGGGCTTCTTGCCCACAGCTCTCATTGGGAAATCCTAGTTTCAGATCAAGTGACTGGGATCTGTGACTTGTCCAGGTGATGCCACTGCAGGGCAGGGAGCAGAGTATGCACAGACAGAGAGAGAGGACACAGGTGGCGGCCACGCCAGGTGCATACTCACGTCTGCTTCGCTGAGGGCCACGTCTATAATGCTGCCGATTACGATGAGGGAGTCAAACGTGTTCCAGGCGTCACTAAAATACCCCTGGACAGAGCAGGCGAGGGCAGACGTTTATGAGCATGTATGAATGACCCTCCACACGGACCATATAGGGGCGAATCCAAGTCCCTGCTGCTCCCATGGCACCCAGGTGGGGTGGGAAAGCCAAAGGGGGGGGGGTAACAATACCGTCCACTGGTGGAAAGGGACACAGCGGGGTGGCTGTGCACCTTTATGTGAGAGAGAAGGTGCACACACACCCATGCACACACACACACATGCACACACGCACACCCATGCACACACACACACACATGCGCACACGCACACACACACCCATGGTCCTGAGCGGCACCAAATCAAGCAGAATATCTGCAGGGCAGAGGAAGGCATTTTGGCAACCTTGCCCTGGTACCCAGAGGGATGATCCCAAACCCTCATGAGCGGATGGACTCCTTCCTTAGAACCTCCACTCACCCCACTTAACGAGCACCGTCACATTTCCATTTCTGTGCTCCTTCAATGCTCTCCAGTCCTCACAAGTCCAGGCAGCATTATAAAGGTCACGCCTTGTGGCAGGCTGACTAAGTCCCCATCTCCAAAGCACTTTCAGTGGCGAGGACACAGGTGAGATTATGAGGATAAGAGAATGGGGCTTAGACAATGGCTTACAGAGAGACAGGTACTGTGAGGCACAGCATCATGGCAGACACTGGCTCTCAGTCGTGGGGGTGGGGCTTAGTGTGGGGACGTCAAGGCAAGTTCTATTGTAGAGAAGAGTATGGAATGAACAGGATGTTCCAGGGCTCCCTCTGTCCTCCACAGAAGCCAACAGGCTCCTTCTTCCATCTCAGCTTTTGCTTTCTTTCCTTCCCCCTTTTCATCCTCTAGGCTGAGAGGAATCCATCCCATCCTTCAAAAACAGGACCAAGTTCCTCCCCACCTCCTGATATCTCTGCGATCCTAACCGTCTAACCCCAACTCCATCTGCTCAACTTCACCCTCCTTCAAGGTCAGATAAATGCTCCTTGAAGGAATCTTCCCAGCCCCAGCTGTCTGCACTCCCTCATACTGACTCTGAATCTCTTACGTACTGATCGCTGATCGTGGAGTCTTTGTCTGCAGCTCTACCAACTAAAAGCCCTCAAGGACGATGACTGTGCCATATATTCAGTCCCCCAACTCCACCAATCCCATTATCTAGCCAGAGCCTTGAACCCGGTCAGTGCTTGGCACATGTGATGTCTCCTTCTTCCACCAACTTGCACCCTACCTGTCATCCAGCTTTGTCTGGCTGTTTGTTTAGGTCCTCCTATCTTGCAACAATTCTGAGGGTATAACATCCCCACAATTGTGACTTATAAATCTACACGTATATGCTGGACATTTTACATCTTCTTCTGGGCTCAGCACAGCAGGTGCTAAATTAGTGCCAAGATCACCTGACTGACTGTCAAGATCAACAACTCTGTCTATAAATCAACTGTGCCTTTCCAAAAAGTCTGGACAATTTTTAGAAATAAAAATTCAGGTACAAATTATATACAGAGGGGCCCAGCATGTCTAAAACTGGGTGCATTTAGTGCTACATTAAGAAAACCAGAATGAAAGGTACTTGGAGGTGTCAGGTCCCAGAAACTTGTGATTAAACGCAGACCCCAAAGAAGCCACTGCAGAGCCAAGACCTTTTGTGACAGTATAGAAGATCTGGACTGACTGTTCTAAGAACTCAACAAGGGACGTTTATTCTAGTCACCATCCATCACTCTTGGTGCCTTTATTGGGGAGCTACGACACTGACTAAGGGTTTGCTTCTTACATTTCATCTTAACAATGTAAGATTCCCCCACCCAATCGCCATGGTTTCTAACCAACTCTTCACCTCTCTGCCTGCCCTCCAATCACAGTGCCTCTCTCTCATTTTACCCTCACTGACTGCTACCCTCTCAGGCCCCTCTCTCAGCAACAAAAGGAACTTGTGAGCCCCAAATCTAATGATCTGTGTATAAAAGTCTAATGAGAAGGTCTACTTTAAAAACAGCACAGCTTATACTTTATAGTTTTCCTTTGCATGAATTCATGATTCTTGGCTGGCAAAACTGAGCAGAGATGGGCTGCCTTTGAGATTTAGGCTGGCAGTCAGAGGTAAGATCAAGAGCTAGCCTCACAGCAGAGTCTCCTTCATCTAGTAAGTCTCCTAACAAGAAGGCAGGCTGAATCAATGTGCTTAGCGCTACAGCTGACGCCCCCTGTTGCGAATGGGTAACAAGCAGTTCTCCGACTGGTGGCGGTGCCACAGACCACACTTGGGGGACAGAACCTGCTGTTTTCTTCACTGAGTTCAGAGCAACTCAAAAGCTAAAGAGAGCACAGTGATCCTTCCCCTCCCCTCTGGGGAGGAATTTACACCACAATCAAACACTTGGTCATGAGTAGCAACTAGACCTCCAGAGTACTGACAGGGCAGCGGAGGCCCAGCGTCCATCCTTCACAGCTGCTGCAGTGTCTGCCCAGCCCTGCCTGCATATGCACCGTGTACACAGCTTCTCTCTGTTATTAACATCATTTCCCAGAGGCCAGACCCGCCACGTGGGTGCTGGAGGCCGGCCTCTATCACTGACTTTGAGATTTTATTCCTGAACAGCTCCTCTCTCCCTCTGCACAGAATTATCAGTGTTCCTCCCTTTGGGTCATTTCCAACAGCCTCTAAGATAATCTCAATGCTGGTGTGCTGTGATGGATAAAATTCCTTTAAATCAACACAATAGGGGCTTAACATTTCCTTGGGGTCTTGGAAGTTTCTGGCAATTTCATTGACTCTCTCTCTCCAGGAACCCCTCACACTCACAAAATTGTGCCCAAATCAGAATGACTGATGGACTGAAGGTTGACACCCTTAATCTAGGAAGCAGGAGGCAGGTAGCTGAAATCACAGGCTCTGACCAGGTGGCTCTGACAGGAGTCCAGGGGAGGCAGAATATGCCAGCCTTCCCTCTCTTCCCACATACTGTTTCCCTTTCTAGTAGTGTCTTGTTTAATAAAATCATTGTCAAGTGGCATGACTCAGTTCCCCCACTCTTCTCCCACCAAAGCACCATACTGCCTTTGTAACCAGTAGATAAGATATAAGAGACACAGCTGCTAAGAGACAGCCCCCCTCCCTGCTCTTTCCTGTTGGCCTATGATGATGTGGTTTCCTACAACTGAATTCTGAGGCCAGGACATCTCAAGTGGAACCAGTAGTCAAATCTATATAATTTTTGTGTCCAGCTCCACCTGTCTGAAAAGACCAAGCAAGTTAGCCACACGCAATAATATGTGTTACTCAGAAACATTTCTGACTCTGGAAATTTAAAATCATAAACCAGACTAAAGTGGGCCTCAGAGTCAGGAAGCACCATTATTTCGAAGAACACTATTCTTGCCATCCATCAATGGTTGTTTCCTGCCAGACAGTGAGCTCCCGGAAGGAGACTCTTCTTATTAGTGGCCTCTTGCCAGGATATGGCACAGGGCGAGGGGCAACGTTTGTGGAATGGTTGCAAATGGGAAATAAGAGAAGTGACCCAAGTCCAGATCCCTTTTGCTGTCTGGCTTCACCCTCATCTGCAGATCGGAAGAAGACTGTATCAATAATGTGCCTTTTGTCATTGACCATGGCAGCCAGATCACCTACCCATTTCTGGCAGGGATTATTTGGGTAGCATTTGACCCAAGTGATAACCCAAAGTGCCAACTTTTGGTAGAAACTATGCCTGACAGCTTTCTAACTAGCAAAAGCCTTTCCAAAGGTAAGTGGGGGAATAAAGGAAGATGTGCTCCACTCTGCTTTACCCAGACACCCAGATTTTGTCTTACCTCGCTTTTCATATTTATTTTACGAAACAAATGAAACCCTGCCACCCTGTGTCCCCTAACATCTCCTCCCCTGCAGTGAGATGGCAGTGAGAGGGCCTCTTCTATCACGGAGGCTCCCAGCACAGGGTTTCCCTCTGTCCCCCTACCCCCTCCTGGCTAGCAGAGGCTGAATCATCTCATCTCCCATGGCCTTGGATCATTTCCCTCTAAATACGCTCTCTTAGGGAGCAGGTGATAGAAAAGCAGGTATCGTCTCACGCCCAGAAGCTGCACTTCCAGGATCATCCCTTTATTCCTTTCTTCATTCCACCAATCTTACTTAGCTACCACCAGGAAGCAGGCATCATGTGAAGCACTGCAGAGCCAGAGACAGAAGACTCAGCCTGAGACCTCAAACAGCTGCTCACCAGAGAACAGAGAGGCAGACATAGAATTGTGTTGATAACGATGGTACATAGTACACCCCCAACAGATGCAGGCGCAGAGGAGACAGCTGGCTCTGGGTGGGCTGGTGAGGATGGTGTCTCAGAGGAGATAACATTTTCCGCAGGTCTCAAGGATAACAAGGAGGAAGCAGGGCTTCCAGACAGAGGTACATGGGCAGGGAAAGGTCTGGCATGCCAACACTCAGGGATGGGGTGGGGAAGAAGAAATGGCAGGGAAGGCATGGCAGGAAATGAGGCAGAAATATGCACAGGCCAGTGATTCATGGAGGACTTTGAATATTCAGCTAAGGAAATCACATATGCTTTCTCAAGCAATAGGTGGCCACTGCCAGAATCACTGCAAGAGTGACCTGGTCAGCTTTGGGCTAACAAAGGGAGTAGGGGCAAGGGCTGAGGCCAGAGGCAGGCAGGGAGATCATTTTAAAGGCAGGCAGGCATAGTAGCTCAGGAGAGAGGAGGGTAGTGCAGGTCCGCATGCCGCAGAGGCGGCCACTGAACCTCTGGCATGTATGCACCTTACAAGGCAAGAAGAGAACCAGGAGAGGGCTCTGGGAAACTTCGATGACAAAAGGACAGGATGGATCCCAACAAGAAGCCCAATGTAAAGTTCTAAGGACAATAATATTTGGTTTCAAGTATTATTTGCCATTAAAAAGGAATCTCCTAGAATAGATGTAGTCATGAAGAATTGAAAAAAAAAAAAAACCAGTATCAAATTTTCTCTCCAGCAGGTGGAACAGGTACTCTAGGAAGATCATGAAGAAGCTGTCCTCCTGCAACAGACCCTGGAGCAGGGAACAGAGCCCTCGAAAGCAGATGGGATGGGAGGACCCAGTGCCCATCCTGCATCAGCTCTGCACAGCAGCATGAGGACAGCACCAAAATACTTCCTTCTTTTCCCAAACCTAATTTCTCCTTACTTTTTTCAGCCCAAGTAGCTATGAGTATAAATTAGTATATTTTCAGGATAGAATCAAGATCAAAACGCTTTAAGGACTAAAATGGGAACAAACTATGGCTCACTGGAGAAGGCTGGTAACTGCAGCAAGCAGCCTGCCCTAGACCAAAGCCTGGACGAAACGCCAGGTAAGTCACATCCCACAAAGGGGGAATCTCAGACAGACTAGGCTCTTCTTGCTCCACAGAAGTGCTCTCTATACCTGCTGTAGCCAGGACTTTGAAAAAGGCCCCTCTTAGTCACTCTTCCTCCTTGCACCAAGAGAACTTGTTGGAAAATTCCAGTAGCTGGAGGGAAAGGCTAGGAGAATGGGGCTTGTGTCTCACCTAAACCAGGGCCTACTTTTGAAAACCCTACAGAGGCCCGGTTGATCCCAAGTTGAAAGCATAACCTAGGCTGCACCAGGTCAATGCCCAGCTGGTGGACTTTCCCTTTGGGAACCCACAACCAGTTAAATCACCTGCTTGCTCTTTCCAAATGCTTTTGCACTTTGGCTCCTAACCGTTTTCCACTCTTGCCTGACCGGTGCTCCAAAACACCTCCTTCCATGCGGTGAGATGGCCTCTTCCATGGCAGAGGCTCCCAGTGCTGGGTTTCCTCCCTCTGTCCCCCTCCCACCTTCCACCTGGCCAGCAGAGGCTGGGTCACCTCATCTCCCATGGCCTTGGGCATTTCCCTCTAAAGATGCTCTCTTAGGCGGCCCAGTTTCTCCATCAGGCTCCCTTATATAAGGAAATATAAGAAATCTGACCTTAAATATAAGGAATCTGACCTTAAGTCCTTAAGGTCAGATTTCTCAACTTTCTTTAACCCTTCCCTCTCAAAATGCCTTCTCATCTACCAGTAAGGATTTTGTCTTACCTCACTTTCTATATTTATGTTATGAAACAACCGAAACCCTGCCACCCTGTGTACCATAACAGAGATGCTAACAAGTCCTCCCAGCCTGACTCGGTGGAGAACCCTGCTGTGAGGGACCCTGTTACAAAGCTCCTCCCATGAGACAAAGGCTCTCCTGAGATGAGGCTGGGGTCCCATGTGGCCACCTCCTCAGAATATTCCTCCTTCTGCAGCCTTAGCAACCTTGCTCCTCAGTCCGACTACCTCACTGACCAGGAGGGAGGAGGCCTCCCTGGCTTCTTTGTGAAAGACCACTTGCCTGAGCTGGGCTTATGAACACCAAAGAGAACAAGAATAAAAGGGCAGAAAAATTTTAAGGAGAGCATTGCTTCTTGGTGAACTGATTCTCTCCCAATCATCCAGGCACATGGTATAAACTCAACCTCCCCTGGCCTGGGGGAATGCGGTGACAGTGCTCCTCAAATGTGGAGATGCTGCTGCTACTGTCGCAACCGTTCTCCCAATTGTAATGTGAGGTCTGCTGCTATGAAGATAACCTGCTGAGTAAAACGACAAGCAGCACAGTTTCTAGCGGAAATCAACTATTTAGAAACTCCGATCAGTACTGATTATAACTTAGCTACTCATTTCCCGTTGGTATCACTCGTCTGTTCACACGCCACTGAACTCTCCTCCTAGGTTTGGAGATGTTCTGGGCGACTGTCGGCCTACCGGACGGTGTACTACTGAGCTGTCAATGCACCGGCCTGCTGAAGGGAACGAGCACACTTATGCACACACACACGCTCACAGACATACACACACACCATGGGTGAGTGCGCTTTCTCTTCAACCTGGAACAACTTTCAAATGCTTCAGAGCTTAATCACCTGGCAAGGAAAAACATGGCCCAGGTATATGGGAAATGTTCCACAGAGAGGTTCCATGTTGCATTTCTCAAGTACCTTCGATGTTCTTACTTTGCAACCTTTTCTTCCATCAGTCCAGACAAATATTGTTCAAAGAAGTAAAGGTGAGAGGGAAGCAAACCAAAATCTCAAAGAAAATTAAGATGAATTTGGAAAAGGAGGAAATGTTTATGTATGTAGATATGGACAAGTCACAGGAGATAATAACATCTGGCCATGCATAAGGTGCCAAATTTGACCCCACTGCAATCACCCCAATTAATCACTTACAAATGTCCTTTCTTTTTGGTCCACAAAGATCTGATAAAGATTGCATAGAGATTAATTCAAATTAAAGAAAGGAACAGTTTGGAATTAGAATATCATGTAACCGTGGAGTATGTGAAACCATCCATTTCATAATCCATGTCTAACTTAATTAAATCAGTGTCATCAGATACCTTACACACAGATAACTAACTGGGTCACAGAACTCGGTCATCTCTAACTCTGAGAGTTTTGTACTGGGGAAGAAACTGAGAGCCAAATATCCCACATTTCAGCTTGATATGGCTCCTCTGTCTAGGGTTTTAGAATGAGGGGACGTCCTTGCTTGATGATGATGAGGGTTAGGGTAGGGGTGGGTAGGAGCAGGGGTGGCCAACAGTCTGCAGAGTGTGGAGCTATACGCCAGGCACTCTGTTAAGCAGTGCATATATGGGAACTCTTCACTCCTCATGACAACCGCATGAAACGGCACTCTTCACATCCTCATTTAATGGGTGAGGAAGTTGAGGCACAGAGAAGTAAGGAACTTGTTTCAGCTATAAGTGCCAGAGCAGAGGTTTGAATCCAGTTCAGTTCCACAGCTGTGCAATTTGACACTGATCTACACTGCCTCTTATTCCGGCAGCCACTTGAATAAAAAAGACAACTGGGGAACTGAATTCACTCCCTCCCAACGGGGACACAACACGCTGAGTGTCCCCTTTGGGAGGGGACACTCAGCACAGCTGAACACATTTCATGTTTTATTTTGTGTTAAAGCCAAGTGAGATTTTTCTAAATTAGCAAACAAAAGATGGTACGGCTGTGAAAGGTCTGCAGCTAGCACCAGAACTTTCCTCAAAGGGTAAAAAGGATGCTGTAGACGAAGCACAAACAAAACCAAAGTCTTTAGACATCTGAAAGTATAATCAGGGTCAAGTTCTTTCTGATGGGTTAATGTTTAAATATTTTCGCCAGTGCTCAAGTAATGATGCAGGTTTCCCTGACACAGCATGATATGTACTATTCTAAAAACAGAAAACTGGCTTTCAAAATAATCTCCAGTTTACAGATTCCCAACTCTAGGTCCCTTCTTTTGTTTCTCAGAATTGTTTTCATGAGGTTTTGTTTTTGCAGATTCATTTTCCCGTATGTACACCCAGGCCTTAATCAGATTTTAATGTTCTCAGGTGGTAACCCAGTTAGCGGCCAGAACAATTTAGCCTAATTCAGTAACATAAGAGTAACAGGAAGTGGGTACTTCTCCAGGGTGACTCAGCAACAGAGTTTGAAAAGTGGGTTCTGCAACTCACCTTAGGCTTAAATGCAATGACTTTCAAAACCATCTCGACGGTGAACACCCCGGTGAAGACCATGTTCAGAATGTCCATGGCGTCATTGAACATCTTGGACTGCTCATAGTGCTATGGATGAAGACAGAGGGGCCATTCTCAGAGCCTCGGCCATCTCACATGCTTGCACATGGAGGCTCCCAGCCCTCTGTGCCCCTGCGGGCATCCTCCACAGCCCAGCACCCTCGCCCGGCAATTCTGCGGGCATTGCAAGGTCACGTGGTGAACTCCCACAAAGTGCAGGGGGTCTGTGACAAGATGAGGATGATTGAATGATGAAGTGGGAAACATATCCATTTCCTCTGCTCAGGATAAAGGGAATTCACCCTTTCTTCTGGCAGGGCTTTATGTTCAGGGCCTTGACCAGAGCACAATGCAGATACCACCAAACTGTCTATGAATAAAGGTAGAATTTGGTTAGGGATAAATTTTATGCCATGTAGGTTTATGTTGAATAAATGGCAGTGTTTTCTTGACTTTACACTTTTCCCTACATCAGCACATGGTCCTTTTCATTAAAAAAGAACTCTTAGATAAAGCAAAAGGCCAGAAAATTTATCCCTATCTTTAGACCTACTGTCCAGACAGCACTGAGAGCTGGTTTGATGTGCTGGAGTTCTTAAGGTCAGTGCAAAAGCTGGCTCTACACCTTGGTCTTTGCTTCCTGTTCTCATGCAGTATCTACTAGGCAATGTAATTTTTGAAAACATTCACTGTTAATACCACACTATAATCTGACTTGGCCAATTAAAGTGAATTGCATTTCTTGCCCTTACTGAAATAAGAAGTAGCTGTAACTCACGTCAAACTTAACACTTCATCAACTGGAAAATTCCCCCACTGCCATGCTGAGAGCCACTTGAGGACAGGAGTGTGACTTATGTTTTGTTTTCCAACATTGAGTGTTACTCTGTGACAAGCCCAGATCAAAACGTCTGAGAGGGCTGGGGGCAGTGGCTCATACCTGTAATCCCAGCACTCTGGGAAGCTGAGACAGCAGATCACCTGAGGTCAGGAGTTCAAGACCAGCCTGGCCAACATGGTGAAACCCCGCCTCTACTAAAAATACAAAACTTAGCCAGGCGTGGTGGCACATGCCTGTAATCTCAGCTACTCAGAAGGCTGAAGCATGAGAATTGCTTGAACCCAGGAGGTAGAGGCTGCAGTGAGCTGAGATCGCGCCACTGCATTCCAGCCTGGGCTACAGAGTAAGACTCAGTCTCAAAAACAAAAATAAACAAAAATAAAAAAGAAAGTGTCTGAGGGGAATTATCTATAGCATAAACCTTATATCAAAGGTAGATGTGACATATTTCCCCATTTTACCAATAAAGAAAGCAAGGCCTGGGGAATTAAAGCAACTTTTCCCAAGTCACAGAAAAATCAGCGTAAAATCAGAATTGAAACAGCTGTCTATCTCCAGAGTTATAGTCCTCAGCCACTACCTGGCCACAGGAGGCCCATGGTAACTGTTTCTAGAATTGAGCCCCACTGCCAGGCTCCATGGAAATGTTACCTGCCATTGTGCTGTACAGATAATTTCTTCAACAAAAGAATGAGCTGAAACTCCTACCGTGACAACTGTTAGCCAGAATGGAACTCTGGCCAACCTATAGCCCAGACTCATCAGAAAAATCAAATCCCTCCTGTGAGGGGCAGCATTCCACCCTCAGCATTTGGGGCATGGGGCTGTGCGGAATGCCCAGACTTGATCCCCACAGCTGTCTCCATTTTTACCTGCATGGCCAAGCAGAGTGTGTTGAGCATGATGAGGACAAACATCATGTATTCGAAAGGCGAAGAGTTCACCACGTACCAGAACTTGTACTGGTAGGGGTTTTTGGGGATGTATCTCCGCAAGGGACGTGCTTTCAAGGCGTATTCAACACACTGACGCTGCAACAGCAGAAAAGGGCAGAAATGGGGTTCGGAGCACTTCCAGGGAAGGAGGACCCCATGGTCATCTGCTCTGAAAGAGCTCACCCTGCAGCTCATGGGAAGGGGCCATGGACAGTGGTGAAAACGATTACGAGTGACCCCCCTCCTGGCACCGGCACCACTCTTGAGTCACCGAGGGCCCTGCCTCCATTACCTTGTCTGACCCTCCCAGCAACCTCAGGGTAAGTTGGGTACCTATCCACGTGGCTTCCATTTTGCCTACTAAAAACCGAGGCTCAGAGCTTTTAGCTGTCTTTCTTGAGGCCCTGCAGTGCATACACAAGCAGAGGAGTGAGGACTGGGTCTAGGCCTTGTCACTGCCTTTCCTCTACATCGTGCCTATAGAGGATCTACAGGTGGATCATGCCTACAGTTCCTGTGCTGTCCTCCAGGAAAGGAAGCCAAGTAACCACAGGAACAGAAACTTACAGGAACTAGAGCGGCTGGCTGACTCCCCGAGACTAGTAGCCTCTTGGCTGCTCCCGGACGGATCCACACAAGATACCCCTCAGGAGCCAGAATATGTTAACAATAAACATCTTATGGGGTGCTGTCTACATGTCCATCGGGGAGCTTCTGGGGCTGGGGAGCTTGTTGTGTTCATTTCAGATTTTCTAGGATGTGGTCAGTAGTGACAGCTGGATTGAACATAGGTTGGGGCCCAGCTGGAGCACTGTCTTTCTCACTTACTCTGGGCAGTAGAGCTGGTCCACCCTCTACAGCAGACCCAGAGGAAGCCTCGGGCCCCAAGAGCCCTCAGCTCAGCATTGAGACCCTAGACCTACTCTTCTACTTTGACTCTGGATGCAGACTTTGGACAAGCTCCCTGTATGTGGGACCCAGTGCTGCTCTGACCTCACGTGCTGACTCCAGGGACCCCCGATTTGAGTCTGCGCTGGACCTCAGAGGCTGACACACTTACAGCGCTGACTGTGCATGGCTGGCCTGGGCCTTGCCCCAACACTCGTCTTCCTTGGGTGAGCAAACAGCCAGGCTAGACCTCTCCCGGACAGTCACTGGTGGAGTCTGCAGGGACACCCTGACAACTCAAAGGAAAATCTTCCTGCAAACCAGGTAAGCATGTCCTCGCATTTCCCCCAGTGGGCAGGGCCAGCTGTGCAACAGACTGTTTTGCTGTGCTAGGGCCACTTCCCCTCAGGAAGCCTAGGCTACAGATCATTCTTGCTTGCGATGTCATCATCGAAACTGAGATGCTACTGATAGAGGACCTGGGGATACTCCCAGAACAGAATCTCAATCTTGTCGACTCTTTCAGGGCTGAAAGGAATGTCTAAAGAGCAGTTCTTTAATGGCCTCGATTTAGAGATGAGGGATCAAGCCCCTGTGGGTTCACAGTGCAGGTGCAGGAAGACAGCTCAGAGCACAGGGCTCCCTCCCCTCACCACATCACCAGAGTAAAAGGCTCCTACTTCTACCAGATTGGCTAAAACATGGTGCCAGATCAAGAATGATGCCAGTATAATCTTAGTCCCAAATTCAAAGTTACTGACTCCCCTGGGGTGGTATAGGATATTTCCCTCTAAGTCAGCAGTTCTCAATAAGGGGCAACTTTGCCCCCCAAAAGACATTTGGCAATGTCTGGAGGCATTTTGATTACTGCTACCGGGGCAGAGGAACCACTGGCATCTAAGAGGTAAAAGCCAGGGATGCTGCTTAACAGCCTAAAAAGCCCAGGAAACACAACCAAGAACCACCCAGCCTGAAATGCTAGTAGCACCAAGGATAGTAAACTCTACCCTAACTGGCTTTAAACACTCTCTCCCAGTATGGACTGTGAGTGTCTGTGTGAGTGGCCACAGCACCCCAACTAAGATTCTGAGCCACCACTAGTGGGTCATGACCATGGTAGGTGGCGTAAGCACTCTGATTTCATACCACCAGGTCCGGGGATGGATTTCATGATTACAAAGTCTCATATGTATCTGGAAACCTAACAGTAGTGATGACTCAGACGGGCGGAGGGTGTGCTCAGAACAGGGTCACAGCCCCAGGGACAGACAGTATGTGGGCACCCTTCTCTGGGCATGGGGTACATCAGTCAAAAAAGGAGGTCCTCCGCTCCTGATCAAGGGACAGAAGCCCAAACAGTGTGTGACTTTAACCTGATTTTTGTCCAGCTCACAGTTCTTATACTCTTTTTCTCCTTGCTCCTGAAATGTCACGATGACAAAGCCCACAAAGATATTCATCATGAAGAAGGCCACAATGATGATGTAGATGATGAAGAAGATGGAGATCTCCACGCGGTGGTTGTAGACTGGGCCGACGTTCTCCCCGTTCGAGTCGATGGCCTTATACAGCAACCTAGAGACAGAAAAACTAAGTTAGGACCTGCCAAGCCCCTCAGCCCAAGCGGCCCAGCCCACTGCCTTCCCAAGTCTTTCCTCTCCTGAACTCCTCTCAGGAGCACTTGCTGCGCACCCACCCCAGGGCCACTGGACATAGCCAGGTCTCTCCCTCAGCCTCAGACCCAGATGGCCAGCACCGAGAGGAGGGGGCACCTGGGATATCATCATCGAGGGACTGTGCTGAGGACCTGAAAATCCAAAGATTTCACAAATATTCTAAAATGCCTCTTTCTATTCAGAGAGGAAGAGTATCACATGTAAGACACCGGAGGAAGTGAAAACTACACACACTGGCAAGTTAATAAGTGACCAACCAGAGTGTTTCCAAAGAGCTAAGGGTGCTTCCCCAAATGGAGATATGAGCTAAAATTAAAGATATGCCTGTCGGAAATCTGAACAGGAAGAGGGGGATTACTGTCACACCCTCAAGGTCCACTGATACGCCCCATTCGGATGCAGATTCAACACTTCTGCAGGCCCAGCCCATGTGCAGACTAGACGTTTTCACAGCCTCTCCCTTAATCCTTACATCCATCTGGGATGGCAGACTTTACTGTCATCCCCATCATACAAATATTCAGGGAGGGATCAAAGTGCCACTGTCACACTCCTTGGGGGCAGAGCCAGGAGCTGAGCCAGTTCCTCCAAGCCCCAAGTCCCAGGTTTGCTCCTTTCTCCTCAGCTCCCATCATAAGTTGCTCAAACACAGTGTTCAAAGCCTGACACTACAGCCAGTGCCTGCACACAGTGAAGGGCCTCACTCCATGCCTCTGTTCTCCCGGGATTAAATCCCTAATGGACAAGCCCCATCTGACTGTCTATCCCACAGGAGCTCCTGAAAATCTCCCTGACTCTTATACACACTCCAAGAGCTCTGCTGGCCTGCAAGTCCCAGCCTGTCAGCCTCCTGCAGCTCATCTATGCAAGGGGACCGGGCATCCAGGACTCTAGGCGTGTTTGCACACTGATGGCAGGAGTTGGGGGTGGGAGCTACAGACGCAGACAGCAACAGGAAGGTGCAGAGGATTCTCCCTTTTGAATTTGACCTTCTCCTTACCTGCTTTTTTAATTTTACTCATCAACATCCTAGCCACTCTTCGGGACCCTGTTCTGCACATCTAGAATACACCAGACCTCCTGCCTGGTTTGACCACTTGACACTGATTAGATTTGGGCGTGAGGGGAGGAAACATGTTTAGACACTGTGTGGGGAGACACACGCCTCTGTGCAGCATGGTCTGTAAGTGAGTGAATGAGTGGCTCCATACAACAGATGGCACAACAGCAACTGTCTGCACCTGGCACATATTAGTATGAAGAAGGAAGGAAGGAGGGAAGGAGGGAAGGAGGGAAGAAGGGAGTGAAGGAGGGAGGGAAGGAGGGAAGGGTTTGGGACACCATCCAGACCCTCTTTGGGAACAGCAGATGGCAGTTTTATTGACATGGCTACCAGTGGGAGTTCACAAGACTGAGGCCTCTCACGCCTCCCTGCTCCCTCCCGGAGATGCTGCCTGGCACCTCTACTATCTCCTCTTCACCAATCATCTGCCTATGCAGAAAGAGGCCCGGTGGGTCAACAAGTGATTAAGAAGTGGCCCAAGGTTAAAAACCCACAGGGCAAGCCTGCAACACTGGAGAACAGAAATGGAACTGACTCCAGGAGAGAGGGCTCAGCCCTGGGCATGCAGGCGCCTCCCCAGAAGACTGTGTGCTCCCTGTACTTACGCAGGCCAGCCCTCAAACGTGGAGACCGTGAAGAGCGCCATCATAGCAGAGAGGACGTTGTCAAAGTTGAAATCACTGTTTTGCCAGATCCGCTCGCGGACCACAGGGCTGTCAACATCCCCATCCTTGTAGAGGATGAAAAGACCCCTGGAGAGGAAAACAGGTGTGGGTCGTCTGGCTTCACACATGACAGGTGGAAGCGGCATAAAGTTGGTCACACTACCCCGATCCCAACTCAAGGCAGGTCAGGCTCAGTCCGCCAGCCAGTCACACAGCTGAGTGTAACACCGGCGCTGTTTCTCCTCTCCTTGCCCTTCATTTAATCTATTTTATGGCTCAAATAACCATTGAATAACTACCAGTGCAATGTGTATTCTCCAGAGCAGCCAGCTGGACACAGGGCATCCATTCATTGGTTGATAAAAGCCACAGCATGGTGACTGCATCTCATACACAATGGGCTTGAGGCGTGCTCTGAAGGATCCAAGCTCGGCCACAGAGAACTCTGTAAGTTCTGGGAAACAAGCCCACGTATATTCTTCCTGCATTTTAGTTTTAATCAAATCCCTTTCTCTTCTTACAAATGACACTCCCAATTTTCTTTCCAAAAGAATTCCATTATTTCTGGCAAATTATTTCTCATAGAACTTCATTTCTGGAAGGAACCCAAGAGATAAAGCACAATGTCTTTATTTTACAAATGAAGACACAGAGCCTTCGAGAGAGAAAGGACAGGGTCCCCACGCCACTGCTAGGCTGCTCACCTCCAGGGCCGTCATGCACCCCACAGCCTGCGTGAACGGTGCCTCTGGAGGTGCAGAGACACAGCCAAATTGCAATTGCTCTCTGACTGCACCTTCTGCTTAAAAGAAACCCCAAACCAATGTAAGCACACAGTCGACCAGAGCCCAGTCAGTTACATCTTCAATGGGTGGAGAGACACAGGCCTCTGCAGAGCCTGAACCTTTAGGCAATGGCTTCCATGAATGCCTTCATGGTCACTGGACATCCTGGAATGGGAGGCATGAGTATTTCCCACCTTGTCTCCCCTCCGCCAGTTCTTGTCTATGGAAGTATGGCCAAGATGTAGGTAATAGGAACCAGGAGAAAGGAAATCTGGAAAATGCATCAGAAGAGGGAGCCAGCTCCCAAACACCAGGGAGCTGAGTTTCAAGTTCTGATTTGGGGGAAATCATCCATGTGGCTGCCATGGAAGCTATTTGGGGCATTTCATAATTGTCATTTAAGGGTTCCCCCAACTCCCGCCATTTATACATTCTCTACCACAAAAGCCATCTATCCCTTCTTTTGGGATGACAAAAGTTTGGAATTAGATAGAGGTGTGGGTTGCACAACAATGCCACTGATACTCTATGCTGAGGAACTGTATACTGAAAACGGTTGATTTTTATATTATGTGAATTTCACCTCAATGAAAAACGAACACCATCTATCCACCCACAGGCTGAGCACACAGTCCTGTTTTATTTCATGAGAAAAACTTCTGAAGTGCCAACATGTGTGAATCCTTGAAGTCTTCTATTTGCTCTTCCAAGTTCATCACTCCACACTCAGGGCGCTCACCTGCATTCTTCAGGGTTACTTTTGGCTTCATCCGTACAGCGATAGAACTTCCCCTGGGTAGAGAACAGACAAGCAGTCAAATCAGTGCAGCCTCTCCTTAAAGAAATCCACCTGGGCTTTCTGCTCAGAGGCAGTTCCTCTACCTTGAACAACTGGACTCCGATACAGGCAAACATGAACTGGAGGAGGGTGGTGACGATCATGATGTTGCCGATGGTCCGGATAGCCACGAAGACGCACTGGACCACGTGCTGTGGAGAGGGCAGAGGGGCGTGACTCTCCTTCATGATTTTGGCCTCGAGGTGAGCTAACAGCAGCCGAGAGTTTCTATGTTGGCTGGGTGCAGTGGCTCACACCTGGAATCCCAGCACTTTGGGAGGCTGAGGCTGGTGCATCACTTGAGGTCAGGAGTTTGAGACCAGCCTGGCCAACATGGTGAAAATCCATCTCTACTAAAAATACAAAAATTAGCCAGGTGTGGTGACAGGTGCCTGTTACCCCAGCTACTTGGGAGGCTGAGGCAGGGGAATTGCTTGAACCCAGGAGGTGGAGGATGCAGTGAGCCAAGATCACGCCACTGCACTCCAGCCCGGGTGACAGAGCAAGACTCCGTTTCAAAAAAAAAAAAAAAAGAAAAAGAAATGCCACAGGTACATGTGCAGTGCTGCCTAGCACATGAACACAAAGGGTTCCCACTCCGTAAATGACTGAGGAAAATAGAAACCCAGTAGTCTTTTATATACAGTCTGCATGAAAACCAAAAAACGAAACACAAAGAACTACCAATAAAAAGGTAATAAATGGACAATAATTATAAAGAAAAATATCTTCAATTACCAAAAATAAAGAAAATAAATCATAATTTTAAAAATGCCATTAGCACTTGGCACAGGTGGCTGAATTGGTTAGAAAGGTCCTTATAACCCACTTTAAAAATCCATCAGGCCTCAGCTCATCTTTGCCCAGAAGAGCTAGTAATTACAGCCAACCCCAACAAAAGCCAGCCCAGCCTGGAGGAGAGGAATCAAAACCTTAAGTCCTTTTGCTCTGTTGATGGCCCTGAGGGGCCTCAGGACCCTTAAGACCCTCAGAATCTTCACAACGGAGATGGCACTGGATCTAAGGAAGGAGCACAAAGACGGCAGGCAGAGCGTGTTATAAACAGGCAGGATGCCTTTAGATTCACCATTTCACTGGAGCTTCGCTTTAGTATCCCTACACGGTTAGCACGGGATCCATGTGGTATTGAGCCGCTCTCTCTCCACAACTCACAGGCAATCTCTCCTCCCCACCCACACTAGGCAGCACCTCCCAGGCCCAGCCTGTGGCGCTCACAAAGGCTCTGACAGGTGCACAGCTGACCTAGGCAGAGACACTACTCATGAACTCGCTTTGTTCTTTCCACTCACTATCAACGCAAGGTAGTTGGCTTTTAGGCTTCACATGCTGTTTGTTCTTGTTTAAGGTTGGAGGCCTGCTACAGCACTTTGGCACCAGGGCTTCTCTGGCCTTCAAGGAGCTCAGAGTCTGGTGGAGAGATGGGCAATCCCAATTCAGTGTGGCACATGACGTGGTAAATGCAGTGTGCTCAGCCAGGGGAGCACAACCTGCGGGGGCAGTGGGGGAACCTAGGAAGGACTCCGGGGTGGGGTAGGTGATAGCCAGGTGAGTCCCAAAGGAGGAGCAGGGGTTAGCTAGGATAATAGGGAGGGGGCTCTCGTGTGAGGGAGCAGCACGTGCAAGGATGCGACACAAGAGAATGCAGCTTTCTGTCGCACCCCAGATGGCTGAGTGTGGCCAGAGCACAACTCAGGAAGAAGTGGGCAGGGCTGCAGCTGGAGAGAACAGGAACAGCCTGGGTGCTCATAGGAGCTACAAACATGTTAATGCAAATAGCCCTCTAAGCTATGACCACAGGGCTCCCTCAGTGAGAGGCGAGGAGGATAACACAGAGGGCTGTTTCAGGCAGAGGTTCTTGGTCTTCCAAGGAAGGTAGGTCTTTTCTATTTCTCTTTAGCTTAGAGGGCATGTGTGTGCAGGTGTGCTCACATGGGGGATACTCTATGTTCAGCACCTGAACAGAAGTGCTCACAGGTCAGTAGGAAAGCAAGGCCACACCTGATGCTCTATTGGGGCCTCTGCCCCACACCTCTGGGGATGGCAGGCAGTACTCAGCAATGGCTGTCCCCACTAGAAATCCCCAAATGCCATGGAAAAGACCTAGAGCCCTGACTTTCAGTATTGGCTCCCTCTTAGCTGAAAAATTCCAGAGGCCAACTAAAAGGTCCTAGCAGGTTCTATATCCTGAAAATCAAAGGAAGTTCTCGACCCAAGCTGGAAGGACTGAGAGGCCACCTGGCCCCAGCCCCTCCTATATAAAAGGGGAACAGGGTTTCTGAGAAAGGGTACCCTCAAGGCCCTGGGATCAGCCTTTGGAGGAACCAGAACTAGTATCTGGCTTACCTCCCTCCTAGTCAAGACTTCTTTCACCTCAGTTGAAAGCAAATTTCACAAAGAAAAATAAGCTCAACATAGCAGCAGGGGGACACACACACACACACACACACACACACACACACACACAATAAAACAAAATAAGAAAACATGATTGTCCCAATGCTTTCTGAAATGGGAGCAAATTAAATAAACCTATATAACTAAATATAATCATGAAAATGATGCCCAGCCTTTATCAATTATGTTGAAAGTCCATACATACACCATTCAGCCCAACGGCTCTGGGTAGATACCCCAGAATACTTACTGAATCCCAAATGACACCAGAGACACCCCGACCACCAACATATCCAGCAAATTGAAGTAGTTCCTGCAGAAGGCCCCTTTGTGGAGGAAAGCTCCAAAGGTTGTCATCTAGAAGCAGAATCATGGGTGATTTACCATTTTTTGTCTCCAGAAGAAAAGAAACCTGGGCTCTTTACAAAATCCTGAGGAAAGTATGACTTCATTAACAAGTACACATTAGGAATCAAGTGTAAACCAATGGGCTGAGCCACTGGATAATTTGTTCAAACAAAAATTAAAAAGGGGCAGCTTATTTTGGATACATTTTAAAAGACGAAACCAATTTAGCCTTTCTTGCAGAGAACATAGGTTTCAAATATGAATACACTGTTGGCATGTCCAAAGAGCCTGTCTCAAGAAAGGCTCCACATGACTACATTCGTCAAACGTTTAAGAGCTGCCCAGACAGCCCATTTCCTCACAAAGCACAGGTTCTGGCCTCTCTGAGGCCGTGGTAGAGCCTACCTTGTTTCAATGAAGCCTTCCCAGTGTAGGGGTGAATTCAGGCCTCCCAGCCTCTAGGTACCTACATCACTTTTCCACGTAGATCCCTTATTGTTCCTAATGGTCTTTAACGGCACATCCATCTTAAACAGCTCCACAAAGTCTGATTACATGTGGCTGGTGTGGCCAGGAAGCCAGGCCTGAGCTAGTCTCACGGCTCTGTGCTCACCTGCCACATGCACCTGCAGCACTTACTGTGGGTGCTCCAGTGAGATATCTATTGGTGATGGAAAAAGAGTTTAGTTCCCCAAAGTAAAAATAGCAAAATACATAGAGCTCACTATTTATTTTGAAACAAGAAAGGTTGGAGAAGGCTCAGATAAGTACAGTATGAGAGGTGGGGGTGAAAAACATTACATTGGACCTCATGAAATCGCCAGTATTCAACCCTTTTTGACCTACAAAAATGGCATTTTCATAGGGCTTAACCAAATAAGCAAACGGCCTTCCAAATCTCCCCAAGGCCACCAGGAGCCATCATCTCAGATGTTAGACACTTCTTGGTGAGTCTCCATTTTCTGAATCCTTCTTGTTTTAGCTTATTTTCCATTCTCTAAAATACTTTCAAAATGAATCATGGCTCAGAAGATTTAGGTCAGTGAAGCAGTTCTTCAGAAATTAAAAAGTGACAATCATTTTTTTCCTTTTAAATAATCCTGTGTCTAAGTTTCCCCAAAGCCTAGGAGTAACTACATTCATTTAACAACCTAAAAATGTGGAGAGTAAAATAAAACCTCAATTAACCAGGCTACAGACTAAGTAGAACATTTCTCCCATTCACATTGAAAAGAAGTCAAATTCTAAAACTAAGAAGCTGAGGCAGAAGCTGAGCCAGTGAGTGTTCCGGCAGTGCCCCTCCGACCCCCACCACTGTGCATTCTGCATCCACAGGCCCTCCCATGGAGGCCCCGTCAACAAGAGCTGGTCACGGCCCACTGCACGCCTCTGACTTAGGAGAACTGTCAACCAAACTCATTGGATTAAAGGCAGGAAAATGAACTCAAAATTTTAGAAGGTTTTTAAGAAAGGTATAAACAGAAGTTGGTTGGCTTCATGCTGTTTCATGAACCAAAAAATAAAACGCCAACCTCAAAAAACTAACATTCCCTGATGACATTAATTGAGGTTTCATTTTATGTATGATTCTGTAAAGAGCCCAAGTTCCCCAGTAGTCCAATACAAAATACACTGTGCCTGAGTTGCACACACAAAAATCCCCCAATGGCTTAAAACCGTGGTTGAAAGTCTTCATTTTCCAGCTTGTTTCCCTGCTAGGAGATGGCTGCCCTGACAGTTCTCATGGGCCTTGTTCTCCCAGAACCACAATCACCGATGCCCTGTGGTCCTTGGCCAGTTTTAGAAATTTTCTTGGAGCTCTGCTGTGGTCTCCAGCACTTTAAGCACATAAGGAATGGGCTCCCCATGGAGCAGCCTTCAGTCAGTACACAAACCACATGCAGCAATGGCAGCTGTTAGCTCATGCATGGGCAGTACATTTAGGTCACCTGGGCCAAAGGGCCCTCCTCTTGTGTAAATGTAAGCCCATCCATTAAAACAGACAGAAAATACCTTAACACAAATAGACCAAAGTCATCTTGCAAATCCTATTGCAAGAAAATAGTGTGTTACTATTTTAGGCCCCCAAAAGCATAATGCAGTCAGAGAAATGAAAAGGGAGACATCCTCTTCATAGGATAAATGCTTTTCCTCTGACTTTGATGTCAGAAATGGTGGAAAAAAGTTCACACAAAGTGATATATCTGTTATCAGTGAACAAAGTTCAGAGGGTATTTTTTTTAAAGGAGCAAAATGTAATTCTCAACCACTATCATAAAGCCAAAGTAGCTCCTACATGCATTCAAAGGTTAAAAAGGAAGAGCAAAAACAAGTTGGAATGGTCACAGGAAAAAAAAAAATCCTTTGTTTTAAAAAAAAAAAAAAAAAAAAAAAAAAAAAAAAAAAAAAAAAAAAAAAAAAAAAAAAAAAAAAAAGGTCAAAAGCACTTCACGCCTCTGTCCTGTGTCTCACACACAGGAGCAGCCCTTAAACACACTGTCAGGTAACCTGTTACCTTTAAAATGATCTCAAATGCAAAAGTACCAGTGAAGACATAGTCTGCGTAACCTAGTATCTGGAAGGCAAAGAAAGAAGTGCAACTATTATTGCTACAGCTGCTGTGGAGTATGTGAAGATCAAGGAAAAAGCCATTACCTTCAACAGGATCTCAACAGTAAAGATGGCTGTGAAGGCATAGTCAAAGTAACCCAGTATCTGCAAGGCACAACATGTTGGAGTGAGAAAAGGCATTCAGACAAACTCTGACAACTGCATGCTCACGGGTAGAAACCCCCCATGCAGTTGGAGACCCATCCTCCCAGAAAAACCCTGCCATTGTGGAGGTAAGTGCAGAGCCGCTGGTAAATGCCCACTCTGGTCAATTACATCATTCCCAAAGAGCGTTTGACAATCCCAACCTCCTTTAACCACTCACCCCGACTTGCTTCCCAGTCTTGTGTCTTGGACAGGCAGAGGCTGATTTCTAAGAGTGCTTTGTTAACAAGCTTTTCTCATCAGAGAGCATTACATCTACAAATGACTTGTGGCACCAGGTAAATTAAACGCTTATACACATTTTGGATTTTTAATCGCATTTCTAGCTGAAGTATGTTGCCCTCCATCTGAACATCCAATGGGTGGAGAAGCATAATGATGGCAGTGACATCCATCAGAGCCAGTAGCTTCCACATGTTCCCTTAAATTCCAGCCTGTGCAATCAGGGTGTCATCACCCTTCCCCATCCATGCGCTAAGTCTGCAAGGGAGGGTTTTACAGACTGCCTTCCTCCTGCCCATTGTTCTGCATCTAACACTGCTCTCTCTAAACTCAGGTGGTTTTTTAAACCTTGCTGGGCCTACTCAAATAACAGACTGACTTGGCCTTTGAATTTTCAGTCCAGGCAACTCTATCCGCATTTGTGCCAATACCATCTATCATCCCATCAACCAAGGTCTGCTAGCCCTTTCTGGGGTCCCTGCTTCTCCTCAGAGCTGTGAAGGCAAGTGGGCCAGCGGCAAGAAGTCTGACCACCAAGAAAGCTACTCACAGGGAGCTTCCTTCTGGCCACAGCACCCTTATCTGCAAAGGTGAGCTGGTCTTTGCCATTAATCTTCATGACAACTGTGATCTATGGTTTTGAAAGAACTGGAGAGAGCAGGGCTGGAAGGGACTGTGGAGACCACCTAGGCCTAATTCTTTAGCAGATATTAGAGGAGGTGGGAGCAGGGAATGGACACACGCACAGGCCAAGCAGCCAGTCACAGTTACTGCCGGGCAAGGAGTAGGCCTGGGGGATGCCAGTGGAGAGCCACCAGGCTGAGCTGTTGTAGGTACGGGAGTCACCTGGGGGCTGTGTCACAATAAGTTGAGGACCTCTGCTTCAAGCCCAGTCTCTCTCTTCAGAGGGTATTCATTTTCCAAACTGTTTCTGGTTTTGGACTTATACATTCTATGTGAGCACTCCTGTGTAACTGAGTTTCTTGGCCAGGCTATGAAAGGTATCTTCCAGGGCACTACCAGGCCTCTGCCACCTTCTCCTTACTCCTTCCTGGGTCACAGTGGGAATATTAATGTGGGAAGCATCTAGTAGTCCAGAAAGAAGTCACACTAGCCTGCAAGTCTATGAGGCAACCTGGCGCCCAGGGCAGAAGTTGAGATTTAAGCTGTTTTTGTCCTCACTCTGCTTGCATTCTCTCTCTTTTTTAAACTAAGAATTCAGCTAAGGTTAAAAAACATACAAAACACTGCAGAATCTCAAAAGCAATATACATACACATATGTACATCTGTTTAAGCAGAAAGATAACATTTTTGGTTTGAGTAAGGCAGCAGGGAAATAAACTTACGGAGAAGCAATTGTAATTAAAAAGAAGACATGAAGCCCCCATGTAAATTAACCCCTTGTCAATGTGTATTCTAGACTAGCTCCTGACCTAGTTTGTCACCTAATGCTTTTTTTTTTTCTCCCAAACACAGCCCTCCTTTTTTTATGATGGAATGAAATGACACAGAGTTCTTTCTTCTATTGGGGCATCTAGACCAACTCTCTAACAAAAACCCTAAACTGTGAGGACAGATCGAGAAGGGCCCAGTGCCTTCCTCTTTACACTGAAACTAACAAGCACCCTGGGGAAAGCACTTTTTCCCTTCACATCAGCGTGTGTGTTTCATACATCTGATAGATGGGGCTTGCCAGGCTCCAGAAATGGGAAGCAGCATCATGAGGCTTGGATGTTCTGACAGAGTCCTAGGGGCACAGATCTGCTGGTGTGTCTTAACCCTAAAATCTCTAACAATCTGATGCTCAGAGAAAGGCACCCACCAGCATGCCAGGGACACCTGATGAGCTTGCACACTCGCCGGCCTCCCTCTGCTGGTCAGGTTTCTTGGTAATAACCTGAAACTGCACAATAATACCTAGGATTGAGCATCAACGGGTTGCTGCTTCTAGCTGTCTTGCCTTTGAATGATCCTCAGTGCTGAGTAAGCTGCACAGTTAAGGAGGGGCTGCTGAGGCAAGAACCAATTTAGGTTCAAGTTTCCTTCCAACATAGACGTAGTGGGCGGGCACCATCCCTAAGCTACAAAACTGATGACTAGCAGAAAACCCTTGAATTGCTCGTATTTTTGTCTGTTTGTCTGAGACAGAGTTTCACTCTTGTCACTGAGGCTGGAGTGCAATGGCGAGATCTCAGCTCACTGCAACCTCTACCTCCCGGATTCAAGCAATTCTCCTGCCTCAGCCTCCTGCGTAACTGGGATTATAGGTGCACACCACCACGCCCATCTAATTTTTGTTTTTTTAGTAGAGACGGAGTTTCACGATGTTGGCCAGGCTGGTCTTGAACTCCTGACCTCAAGTGATCCGCCTGACTCAGCCTCCCAAAGTACAGGATTACAGGTGTGAGCCTGCACACCCGGCGCCCTCAGCTTGTTTTCTCAGTATAGTCCGTATCCATGAGGGATTGTTCCCAGGACCCTCTCATACCCCCAGATCTCAAGTCTCTGATATAAAATGGTGTAGTGTTTGCATATAATCTATGCACATCCTCCTGTAGACCTTAGATCATCTTTGGATTTCATGCCATGCAAATTGTTTAGAAAAAATCTGCACAAATTCAGTACATTTTCTCCCCCACGTATTTTTTTTTCTTTTCTTTCATTAGATAGAGCATCACTTATTCTCTTGCCCAGGCTGGAGTACAGTGGTGCGATCTTGGCTCACTGCTGCAACCTCTGTCTCCAGGGTTCAAGTGATTCTTATGCCTCAGCCTCCCAAGTAGTTGGGACTACAGGTGTGTACCACCACTCCTGGATAATTTTTTTTTTGTATTTTTAGTAGAGGTAAGGTTCCACCATGTTGGTCAGGCTGGTCTCAAACTCCCGACCTCAAGTGATCCACCTGCCTTGGCCTCCCAAAGTGCTGCGATTACAGGTGTGAGCCGCCATGGCTGGCCACTCCCAAATATTTTCTATCTGTGGTTGATTGAATCCTTGGATGCCAAACCCATGGAGACAGAGAGTTAACTGAATAACCACCTTTGCCACACCAAAATCTAGAGTTCTTGTTGTTTGTTTGCTTTTTTATAGACAGAGTCTCGCTGTCACCTAGGCCAGAATACAGTGGTGTGAACACAGCTCCCTGCAGGCTCAGCCTCCTGTGCTCAAGCAATCCTCCTGCCTCCCAAGTAGCAGGGACAGGCATGCACCACCATGAGTGGCTAATTTTTAAATTTTTATATAGATGGGGTCTCACTATGTTGCCTAGATTAGTCTTGAACTCCTGGGCTCAAGTGATTCTATTGCCTTGGCCTCCCAAAATGCTGGGATTATAGGTATGAGCCACCACGTCCAGCCAATTAATAATTCTTTGTGTATTCCTAATTCTGCCAATGAAAAGTAATATTGTAAACAGCCAAGTTAACATGCTTAAGGATCAAAGTGGCTCTGCCTGGTGCACTCTTGAAGTTATTCAAACTTAATATTCGCTCTCTGGGGCCAAGGTCAGCACTTTCTTTGGAAATACTTGTGAAATATGTAACATAACCACATATTTTATAATAAATCTTCCCAGAGAAGAAACGTTTTCACATTCATTATATATTCTTTTTTTTTTTTTTTTTTTCCTTTTAGACAAAGTCTCACTGTGTCACTGAGGCTAGACTGCAGTGGTGTAAACATGGCTCACTGCAGCTTCGACCTCCTGGGTCCCAGTGATTCTCCTCCCTCAGCCTCCTAACTAGCTTGGACTGCAGGTGTGTGCTATCACATTCAGCAATTTTTTTTTATTTTTTGTAGAGATTTGAGGTCTCGCTACGTTGCCCAGGCCAGTCTTGAACTCCCGTCCTTAAGTGATCCTCCCCCTCAATCTCTCAAAGCACTGGAATTACAGGTGTGAGGCATTGCACCTGGCCTAGAGTTCTCCTCCACTGAACACCTCAACTCGACATCCCATCGTCTCCTAAGTTGTAGTTCTCCTCAGTCATGGAGCCGGGCAGCTTGGTTTATTTACGTCTACATGACACAGGAATCTTGCCCCCAACCCTGAATGAGAGAGCCTGGGCATGTGGCATGTCTGGCTTGAATTCTGCTTCCTCCCTGCCATGTGCTTCCACGAGGCATGAATCTCAAAACTGGGGTGAGTATGAACCTGCGCAGGGAGGGAAAGGAGGACTTAAATATTGGCAGCAGGGAACAAACAGGAGGAGAAGCAGACTCCCTGAATTCACTGACAGTTCCTGCAGAGTATTTAAGATGAAGTTCTAAATTAATGATGCCATTCAGATTTACCCAGCTAAAACACAAGCTCCATGGCACTTACAAACCGGAAACACCCAACTCCCCCAGGTGAAGGAAAGACCTACTCTAGCCCTCACCCTGAGGGCCTCCACAGCTCCCATCTCCACAGTGGTCTCTGCCTGAGAGAGGCCAGTGCCATCCCAGAGCGAGCCCCACCCAGGGACTTACTGTGTTCCGGAAGGAGTGGCTGCGGATGGGGTCCTCTGCGGCCAGTGCAGCGCTGCTCAGCATGATGAAGACGAGGATGAGATTGGTGAAGATGTGGTGGTTGATGAGCTTGTGGCAGCCCACACGGATCCTGCAGGGAAAAGCCGCTGCTTGGAAACGGTCCCAGATGGAGTGGAACGCACTGTGTCCTTAAGAGTGTGGGGCCACTGCAGCAGGATGCCAGGCAGAGGGCAACTGTCTGCTGTGCCACCCATGCACCCTGCCTGGCACACCTGAGCGACCTGTCCATCAGCCCCATGAAGCCCACCAAGAGCAGCCCCTTTGGACTATGCATGGTGTGTCAACTCTGTGCTGGGGGCGCCACACAGACCACTCTACTGAGTTCTTCAAAGTGGAGCTTGTCTTCCTAAAGATGGGGAAACTGAGGCTTACTAAGAGAATTCTAAAGTGACATTAGTAAGGACCAGGGGGAGACGTGATCCAGGTCTATATGACTGAAGTTTTTCCACCATGACAGGAAGCTCGTCTGCTTATCCTCCCTGACCAAGAGGGTACACTGAGGCCAGACCTGCCCTTGACAGTTCACGCAGAATGAGATGAATCCTGTGCTTGTCCTATCTGCAGATTCTGTAATAAATGTTATTTTTTAAAATTTTGGAGATGACCCACAAGCAGCCCTCAGAAAGTGAAGGTTGTGAACACACAAGGATCTCATGGCCCAGCATGACAGTTCTCACCAAGTCCTGTGGTCTCGTGAAGCAAAGGGGGACAGCTCATGCCCGACACCTGGGCTCAAACGATGGGCCATCAGAACCTCACTGCTGTCCTCAGTGTGCCCTGCACCTGTTAGCAACTGACTATCCTTACCCTCGATGTTTGACTTTACAATTTAAACATATACATACATATACATGTATATATACACATATACATATGTAATATGTATATGTGTATATATGTATATATTAAATATGTATAAATTCTAAAGTATATATATGTACATATGTGTATATATAGAATATGTATGTATATGTTTAAATTCCAAAGTGTGATGTGTGTGTGTGTGTGTGTGTGTGTGTGTGTGTATACACACCTATCTATATTCCTATATTCTATAAGCCTCTTATACAGAGAGGTTTTCCTTTGAAAAGATTTTTCCACTTTCAATACTAGAGTCAACTTTATGTTGACATGCTTAAGCCTCACTTCCTGTCCTCCCTTTTGGACCTACTTAATGCTGGGCATACCCCCAGAGGACCTGAAGGTGGTTAGCAGTTTAGTGTGGGGAGAACTTCCAAGCTAGTGAAGGTAGGAGTGCTTTGTGGCTTTGGGTGAAAATAAATCCATTCTCTCAACATATATATACATAAGGGTGTAGGTGTCAGCAATATCAGTTTAATAACCTTTTTTTTTTTTTTTTTTTTTTTAAAAAGGACACCCAAACAGTGGTGAGCTGTAAAAGCTATCATCACATCTTTGTATCTCTGAGGACACCACTAGGCCTTGCTTCCCACCTGTGTCTCCCTAGGGCCAGTGAATTACACAGAGTTGTTCTCTGACAGCCAAGAACTACTTCGGCAATTCTAGAAACCTTTCCAGGAGCCATTTATTCCCCCTGGCATTCCACTCAGCCCCAGATGATTTAAAACCTAGAAACTAGCTAGTAAATAAACTTCTTCCTCTTATAGTATGTGTGAGTCATTACCCTGTTCCTTGTGAGCACCTTATCATTTTAACATAAGAAATGCTATTTTAAGTAGACTATCATAGAGCTGAACTGAATATTTACAACCTATAAAATATCACTGTGCAATATAAATTTATGATTATAAAATTCAATAGGGAAAACGGATCAATGAAGTGGGGAGGTCTGTGAGGTTGAGGATGCTATGCAGAACTTGGTCACAAAAATTCTCATCCTGCAAAGCATCCTAACAGAAGATCCACTTGTTAAGAAAAACTCCCATGTGTGGCCGAAGCATGGAACAGCAGAGCAGTGGGCTCCCACTGGCATACGCTGCCGTGGACAAGGCTTTCCCCATTGCTGTCCCTGTGCAGGGGTGAAGGCAGGGAGGAGAATCTAGAATGGAGCTCCTCCCAGGACCTGGCCACACCCTGCGGGAAGGAGGCGATGAGGAAGAGATGAGCTGAGGGCAAGAGCAACAGTGGAGGACAGAGGGGTTGGAGGGGACTTAGGTGGTGGGGTTCCAGGGACACTCAGGTTCAGAAAGGGCTGTGAACCACTTCCCCTCACCCCCACCCGAGCCACCCTCAAGCGACCTGTAGGGTCACTGGCAAGGCGCAGCCGCGAGAGGCTAGAAGGGGAGTATTTACGGGTTGGTCTTGCTGAGAATGAAGAAAGCGCTCCCTTCAGGGATGGGGGCAATTTTTTCCTTCATGTTCAACTCCGAGATCCTTCGAGGACGGGGTCCGGCAGGAACCTCAGGTTCATCCTCCTCCTCTTCCTCTTCCTCTTCCCCTACTTTAAATGAAATACTCTTTTCATAGGCATGAAATAAAGACTACATATGGGTTTGAATTATTCTCAATTTCACATGCAAATTTGGCTTGAACTTTAACAACGTTTGAGGGGAGGAGGGAGCGTGCTGAGAAATGTCCCCATCTGATGAGTGTGTTTAGTTTGTGGGAATGAAATTCTCACCAGGGTAAGATCTGACCACAGATGAAAGGTGGTGGTGCTGGGATTCTCACTGTGAACCTCCTAGCTCCTGGCTGTTTCCCCAGTAACCTCCTCGCTCAGCTTGGCCTGAGAAACTACACGGGACTTTCAGTCTCAATCAGCTCCTAGGCTCCCAACTCCACAGTCCCACCCACATTAGCCAATAAATGTGCCAGTCAAATGTAAAAGCGTCAGCTGAGTGCTAACACCTGGGGGGCCTCCTGGACCAGTCTCCCAGCAGAAACTGGGACTGCCCTGACCCACCTGCACTTGCCCTCCCCATCACCTGGAATTTGGGTGACACATGCTGCCTTCGACCATGGGAAAAAGGGGAGCTAACTGGTCCCATGGCCTTGGTGGCCTCAGCAGCTCATGTGCACAGTGCTGGGCTGGCTGGCTGCAGACTCAGCAGCTGGCCACAGAGCAGTAGCAAAGCCACACAGCAAAGCCAGTGTCTCCAGCCTCCGCCACCATACCTGGCACATCGCAAGGTGGGTAGGGGTCCTTGTCTTCATCCTCTTCTCTATAGTCATCAATTGTAACCTGGGATGACAGAGACATCTTGGGAGGAGGGGAGACTTGGACTTAAATGCACTTCAGAGAGGAAAAGTCGCCCTGGCAGTCCAGCATAGGGCATGGATTCCTCCCCAAAGTTGCGCCTGTATGTGAGTGTGCAGGGATAGGCATATGTCCCCAGATGGTGATTCTGCTACAGACAGAATGCCAGAGGGAAGGTGAGGAGAAGGCTGGTTGAACCCTGACCCAGTTGTGATTAGCCAGCACTGTCCAGGGCTCTGTCTTTGCCGTGTGCCAGCACAGTCACTCATACGGCATGATAATACATCTCACACTCCTGCCTTCCTGCCAGACTGCAAGGCCCATGAAGGCAGGGGCCTGTCTTCTTCATTTCTGAATCCCCAGTGTCTGACACACAATAGCCACTCAGTAAGCATTTATCAACTCGATGAATAAAGAAGGAACACAGCAACCAGAGCTGTCATAAATGGGATCAAGTTTGACAGCGTAGCCCTGAGGCCACCTGAGAATGGGATTACCTCTGGAAATATACATCTATTAAAAATCCCTGATGTTCATACCCACTCAGAAGATGCTAATGTGATCCTGACCATGGGTCAGATCTGACTGCACAATTCCAATAAAGAAAAAATAAGTGGTCAAGCTAGTCAAATCTTTATCATATTGGTTTTCTGGTGAAATATCAGTGAACACAGCTAACTGCCTAAATTCAACCAGAACCCCCCTGGGAAGCCAGGGTCTATACGGTGTGCTATATTCTTCACACCAAAATATCACAAGTATGATACACAAGCACTTCTGCAGTGTAAATGGTACATGTATGGAGATACCAACAGAATCCTTTTGAAACAAAAAGGGGAGAAGTATCTCAGAATACATACCTTGTTGTCACTGTTGGCTATCTGATTGACTTCTGGTTTGTTCTTTTTATTTTCTAGGCTCTCTTTTCTAAAGAGAAGAGAAAAGACCACAAGAAACCAAATAACCATGTTCCTCTGCATAAAAATGCTAATCAGGATTCTGAATCAACAATGCTCCCATGAAGGACAGAATTTAATTAGAAACAACACTAACCACAACAGCATAGCACAACCCAAACTCAGAGCTTCCTGGTAATCGCAATGTGATGGATTCATTACACAGATCATCTTATTAAAATTCTCATCTGAGAGCTAATCAGCATTGAATGCATCATTTATTTTATGACGCCAAAATTATCTGCAGTGATTCTTTAAGCATGGGGACACGTGACTCCCACTCTTGGATCTGAGGGATGGGAGCCAAGGGCCTGGCTTCTGCCCAAGATTCCATCCATTTTGGTCTGCAGTGCACAGTCAACCATGATCCACAAAGCAGCAAGCTGGGGGGCTGCAGCTGCAGTGAAGCAGGGGTGGTCCTGGCAGGCTGCACCTGTGGCAGGGCTCCCCATGCAGCCCCTAGACAAATACCTGAGGGGAAAATGGGGTTACCTGGCAATCTTTTTTCTTTCCTTTTCTTCTGCTTCTTCTTTCTGAGCAGTGTTCAAACTTTCAGCATCAGCCAAATTGTCTACAGCAATGGCCAAGAAGACGTTCAGTAGAATATCTAATTTGAACCGTTTAAGGGCACAACACACTTCTAAATGTAACTACATTTGGCCAACAATGGCAAAGCCACACCCCTCTGCATCCTGGAAGGCTGGTAGCAAGTGACTGTCCCAAGTGCTATATTTACACAGCAAAACCAGAGTACCAGAGCCCTGCTTAAAACAAAACAAAACAAAAAAACCTTAAAAACCTGTAAAAGGACAGTCAACAGAAGAAGTAAAATTAAGATTCAGTAAAACCCATGAAAACCTACTAACTTCAACATTTCTGTGTGTGTGTCCATAGGTCTACACATCTATAGCTATGCTATACATTATATAAAACAATCTATAACATAAACACGGTATAATTAAAAAGTAGTTTGGGTGTTTTTCTTTTTTTTTTTAAACACACACTACAACTGCAACATACATATTCAGGGGAGTGTTTTCCAAAATAGATCGCTTCAAAGGTTGCAAGTGATTCAAATGATGATCCGGTTGCATGAGACAGTATGAGACTTCCTCCTCTGAAATAACCTTCGGAGTCTGCAGATAACTCATTCATTCCTTCACTGCACAAACACTGACTGCCTACAGTGTGCCTGACTCACTGGCAGCTGGTGCTGGGCTGCTGGGAATAGTTTCACTGCAGCTCGGTCTCTGATCACTGTGCCTGAACTTGATTTTTACCATCTCCAGTCCGGGACAAACTGCTTCCTGAGGCTCCCTGCAGCTCCAGTTAAAAAACACAAAAGGCTAGGTGATTGAACACATTATTGTGTTTTTTCGCTCTTACTGGAACATTGTATACACGGTTTTCCTGAATGTTTTTGTTTTTAACAAGTACTCTGAACAAGGCCCCTAAATCAGAAGATGCCTGTTTCTCACTCACTAGCAGTGAAGTGTTTTTGAGAAGCACAGAGATGAGAGGGCAGTAAGTGAGAAGGATCCCTTCTGTGATGAATGCTTCTCTCTGCCTGATGCCTGGCCATCTGTAGGCAAAACTGCAGGAGCCCAGAGACCCGAGACAGGAGCAGCACAGCACTGTCCCACACACCCTGTGGAGTCTGTTGTTTCGGATGGGTTGCTGAACACGTAAACCAACATAAGCTAACAAGGAACAGATGAGTTCTCTGTGAGGGAATTGCAGGCCTCACTAATCATTCAAGGCTTTAAACAGGAGAGAAACATGAGTGAGTTACATTAAGACTCAAAGAGCCTTTGACATGCTGGTCTCTTTTTTAACTGGAGCTGCAATGAGCCTGAGGAAGCAATCTGTCCTGGGCCAGAGATGGCTTGGTAACGTGAGCATTTCTCTGCTGGGCATGGGGTAATGGTAGTTCAGACAAGGGCTAGTGCTGAGACTAGCTGTACTGAGTACTCCCTCCACAATCTCAGCAAAGAAACAATAATCTCTCTACTCTTGCAATGACTCTCAACTCCTTTGGGTAGTGGAACGCAAATCCAGAGTGATGAGCCACAGCAAGATCTTACAAGCTTGTAACAACCAATCTCCCAGAGAAAAATCCATCATGTGCATTTAGAGGCACTATTTAGACCTGCCTAAAGAGTGGCATGCTCTGGAATTCATCCAAAAAGATCTACCAAGCACCTCCAATGTGCCAGGCACTATTGTGCGTGCTGGGGGCACACTGGAATATCTATTCTAGTTGGGGAAGACAGAACGTAAGCCACTCCCTAAGCACCTCTGATACAGTGACATGTGCTACAAAGAAAACAATATGCAACCACAGAGAAGCCCCAGGGGATACTTCTCCACAGACTTCAGTCCAGGATGCTGCTGTGGCCTGAAGAGTCAACCATGAGGACAGCAGAAAAAGAAAATAACGACCATTCATTTACCAAGAGCCAGCTATTTGCAAGATCCTGTACTCTATTGAGAGATGTGAATACCAAAAAGATTCCTGACCCAAGAAGTGTATCATCTAGCTAAGGAGCTGGAGAAATGCCCACTCAAAATTCCAGTAGACAGGCTGGGCACCATG